ACCCACTCTACGTGCGGTCCTACGGCATGGCTTTAGCTACCTCGACGACATGGCTGTTCAACTTCACGCTCGCCATCACTTGGCCTTCCCTTCGGCACGCATTCACGCCGCAGGGAGCGTTCAGCTGGTACGGCGGTTGGTGTATAGTCGGATGGTTTCTGATACTTCTGTTCATGCCCGAAACCAAAGGAAAGACGCTCGAAGAATTGGATCAAGTGTTTGGGGTTCCCACACGCTTCCACGCCAAGTATGGGCTGCGTCAGATCCCCTACTTCATCAGGCGATACATCCTCCGTCAGAACGTTCGTCCTCAGATCTTGTACGAGAGAGAGGATGACGACGCGGTGACCGATACGGGGTACGATCATGCTTGACACCAGCTGTCGTGCAGTTCGATTCCCGCATCCATGATGTGTAGTGGCAGGAGTGGCAGGGTCTTGTGTACAGTACAGGGAGCCCTCTAGCTAACCCTATTTCATACTTTTTTGAGTCTCTACTAAGGGCCAAGAAAAGATCGATTTCAAGTGAACCAAGTGAGCGATTTTCATTTTTCTAATATCGAGGAACGGAGACAAGAAACGGGCAAGGGTAGGGGTAGTGTTCACTTTGTCAGACAGCAGTTGGTACGATTGTTGATCCGCATGTATAATAACTCGGAACAGGTCTGTGTGAATCTTGCTTCATCATTGAAGTGAACACGTAGGAATGGTGACATATGCAAGGGCAAAGATGCTAGGGATATCTGCAATGGACGAAATCAATGCGAAATCTGCTTAGCCAGAGCAAGACATGATTCTCATAGCTGAGCTGTTCGCAGGTTGTAGAGCACGCTGGATCTTCGAAACAAGCATTCAAAGCAAACTGCCAATGAACTCAGATCTTGTTGAGCAGTGTGAGGCGTATAACAGATAGAAGAGAAACAGAAAATTGGAATCAAAATTTGAGGCCCGCCGCGTCCTTATATACGCGTTTGGTTCGCTAACCAGCCAATCACAGCCGGCAGTGTAACCTCTCGGGCCGCGGTGGTTTTGCGGTGTTTGCGATGTTTGCTTCCGGTTTGGCCTCGCCCCAGATTAATTTTTTGACGCAGGCTTCAGCAGCAGAGCGTTTCTGTGTTGTTTTTCCGTCGCTTGCCTTTTGTTCCTCGGAGATTTTGATCTGTCTGAGAAGATCGGAGACCTGGAGTGTTTAGTCCTTGTGTTCGACATTCATTTCAACCGCGTGGAGTATTAGCCGGAAACAAAGGTATGATTTTCTTCCAATCTGCCCTGATCGTCTCTTGTCAATTTAGGAAATCCGTGTATTTACAGCAGTCATGCGACTATACCATGCTAATTTTCGTTCATCGCATAGGCTACCGATTCTTATACCCTGTCACTACCGATCCTGACTTTGTTCGAGTCTCCGAAAATCTCTGTCACAATGGCCGACGCTCCTGAAAGCCCCGTCCCTCAGCAACAAAGTGTGTAGGCGATTTGCGTTCGGGCTCCTCTAGGGGCTGCGATCAGCACAACTTCTTGAAGCACTCGTCACTAACAAGTGCCTAGCCCCCCAGAAGAACTTCTACCAGAATGGAGTCAGAACCACCGGCCGTGCTTTTCATTCTCCCAACTGGCGCCTGAAGGGCGAGGAGAGCCCGAGTGCGCAGAGCGCCGGTTCCCCGGGCCCCAAGACCAGCACTTCGAGAATCGCTTTCAGCAGACCCAGCGCACACGTGCCGCAGGCTATCTCTGAGGGCCGCCGTCTCTACGTGGGTAACATGCCCTACACGGCCAAGTCGGAGGATGTGCAAGCACTCTTTACCGCTGCCGAGTTCCAAATGTATGCGAAACGACTCTTGTCTGTTGATGAGCCCCTAAACTGAGTGTTTCCTAGTGAGCGTATCGATATCGCCATTGACCCCTTCACGGGCCGCAACCCCTCATACTGCTTTGTTGATCTGGAGACGAAGGAACTGGCCGAGCGGGCCATGGTTGAGTTGGATGGCCGGGACATGCTTGGCCGTCCAGTCAAGATCAAGCCGGGTGTTGTGAAGTCCGCCAGTGAGCGGTCCCAGCAGCAGCAACAGCAACAGCAGCAACAGCAACCGCGCGTGGATGGCTCTCCTCGTGATGTGAGAAGCTCGCCTTTCAGTGCTGACCGCTGGCGCCGTGGCAACGATGATACTCTATCTTCCCCCGCCAGACCCGTCAACAACGATGCCAGCCGCCGTCTCTACGTCGGTGGTCTCCCTAAGTTGACCGATCAGGACGCTCTCAACATCAACATCCGCAATTTCTTCAAGGGATACAATGTGTAAGGCTAGCCCTACAGCACTCGATTCCATACAAAACTAACGTCGCCTGATAGTGAGAACGTCAGCAAGCAGTTCGCCCCTCACCCCGCCAAGCGGTTCGAGCCCGGTGACCACTACTACCTCTTTGTCGATTTCGAAAGCGTCGATGAGGCCGAGAACGCCATGGGCGCTCTGCACCGCCAGGAGGGTCCCTGGGGCTCCATGCTGCGGGTCCAGAGAGCTCGTGGCGAAACCAACACCCAGGAGAGACGTCCGAAGTGGCCGTCTAGCCGGGATGATGCAGCAGTCCCTGCTCTTGGCGATGCCAATGCTGTTGCTGAGGTTGCGGTCGGCGTATAGTTGTGCTTCCCAGCTATACGGCTGATCCAGACAACCTTTCTCACGACACGAAAAAAAAAAGTTCCTGCATACCCTCTCAAAGCCAAAAGTACATGCTTGACGTTTGTTACGACGAAACATAAAAAGGGAGGGGGTGATTTTTTTTCTCACCCCGACACTCTCCCACAAGAGATTCATGACCTCCATTCTCTGCCTCGTTCTACTACGTCTGTTCCTCAACCTATGGCTAGGGGGGAGCCTATCAAGAGAAGAAAACCACAAAACCACAGCCACCGTCGCTGGAAGAAAGCCGCGCTTCCCCCCCCCCCCCCCCGACGTTATCGCTCCTTTGGGAGCATCTCTGTTGAGGGGTATTGGTTTTCCGTCTTTTGAGGCTCCCCAAATCCTGGTGCAGATCCGAGGCACAGAAAAGGCACCAAAATTCTAAAAACGGGAAGGTTTCCCAGATCTAATGACGATAGAGTCGACCAAAACGGAGTTATTTTAGGGCTGAGATTAGCTTAATCGAAGGAATATTACCGACCAGGTTCTCTTTCTTGTATGAGTATTTGCTCTTTAGCTAGTAATTTGACTAGCGGGTAAATCCATGATCTTCGTTCTTCCCGAAGCCTAAATCGATGGTATGGAGTCTATGGACCTACCGTCCTCAGTACATGTAGATTCATAATCCTCCGTCGTTGGACGCGTGGGGATCAATACTGTAGGAATGGGACGATACTGATAGGCAGGGGACCGATGGACAATTGGCGCTCCAGGCTGTCATCCCCAGTCCCACCAGCAGGCAATGCAAGGGACGGAATCCCGATCGGCAGACATGAGGCGAGGCATGATGGCCAGACCTGTAACTCCACGCCTCAACGCCTCGAAATTGGCGAAGAAAAACCGCGCAAGTCAGGCGACCGTGAGTCAATTTTGTCCTAGTCGGGTAATTCACTCATCTAGCCAGCCCATTTGCAACAGACGGTTACGATTTTACCCGACACGAAAACGTAATGGGGTCACGTGCGGGCCGACTGGACAATCCGACCGGGGAAAAGGGGACCGGCCGGGGAGGGAGACGGAAATCACTGATCATTTATCGTAACTTACAGTGGTCTAGTCAGAAGTCAAGTGCGCCGGTCGTGATTACTTTTATTTCTAGTTATTATATATAATATTTTTTCCCTTACCATACATTTGGAGGGCTCAGCTGCTTCAAGCGCACCTCTGCACCAAAAAGTTCATCATTTGGCGTGGAGGAAACCCAGAACAGGGTCTACCTCCTATTCTTACAACTACTGACCTACTATTGAATCATCATTGCCTAGACAATCATCACTAATAACTAACCAACCCACAGCGTCGCCGGCAACTGCCCCGCGGCATGACGTCTGTGCTCTTCCTCACACTTTGTGACTGACTGACTGACTGACTGATTGTCTTCTTTCAACTCTCTTCACCGCATCGACCGCGCCCCCCCGTTGGGTTTCAATGCCCATCCAACCAGAGTCATCTGTTGATCAATTTACTACTCCTGCTTCTACACTCCGTACTCACCACTGCTATCCTCTTCCCTACCAAAGATCCCCCCCCGTGAGACAGCCGGACCTGTCCGCTTCTTAGTGGTTAGCGACAACTTCCAACAGCACATCTACAAGTCAAGCCAAGGGAAAAAAAAGGTTTCTATATACGGAGTACTACAGAGTTACACCCACACACACTCTCTCTCACACCCTTAGTCCTCCTGCTCCTTTTGTCCGCGATCGGACATCCGAGGTCTTGGATTCTTTTCCTCTCCCTCCGTTTGCTTGCACAATACTTCAGATTCAATAGTCAATTGGAATCATGTCGTCGGGTTTAATTCGTCGAGACAATGGCCACGGCAAGACTCACTACTTCGCCAGCGTAAGTTGCCATGCGTTTTGTTCGTTGGGTGTTTGCATTGCACGTGCCTTGATTGGCCGCAACCTTTAATATATCTTTTCCTCTGCTTTTTCTTTTGGAGCTTGCAAACGACGTCGCAATGTGTCTGGGTTGTGGTGTGTGACACAAGGCCAGTGTCATGCTGGCTTTGTCTTACTAAAGACTTATCCCCTTAAAATGCTCGCTGGGGACATAATGCTGAGTTCCGGCGGGTTGTCGCAGCTCGCCACCCACCCACCCCATTGCTATTTTCTGCCACACAATTCTTAGACACGGCGTCGTCTGCGATTTTCTGTGTCTTGCCTTGGATGCTTATTTGCCCATCGATAGTCAGATGAGTCGAAAATATGTGTGGTCATGGTTGGCCTCCCAGCTAGAGGCAAGAGTCTCATAGCTGGCAAAGGTGTGTTGAGTAATCAAGTTCCCGTGTCCGGTGTGGAAATAACTGACATCATGACCAGCTATGAGATATCTCGCTTGGGTTGGTATTCCTGCACGCGTGTTCAATGTCGGCACCTATCGCCGACAGGGCACACCGCAGCCAAGCGCCACGTTCTTTGACCCCCACAACGAGGAGGGCGAGAAGATGCGCCGTGCCGCGGCCGATGCTGCCATCACAGATATGATTCAGTGGTTCGATGCTGGCAAGGGAGTGGTCGCGATCCTCGATGCGACGAATTCGACGAAAGAGCGCCGCCGCTGGATCAACGAGCGCTGCCGGGAAGCTAACATCGAGACGTTGTACGTCGAGTCGATATGTGACGAAGAGGACTTGATTATGAACAACATCCTCGAGGTCAAGACGACCTCGCCGGACTACAAGGGGCAGGACCCGGAGGTTGCTGCCCGGGACTTCCGCGAGCGGATCCGCAACTACGAGAAAGTCTACGAGACCATTGATGACGGCGAGAAGAGCTACACCTACGTAAAACTCATCAACGTTGGCTCCACCGTCATCATCAACCAGATCAAGGACTATTTGTCCAGCCGACTGGTCTACTACATCCAGAACCTCCACATCAAGCCTCGCTCGATCTGGTTATCTCGCGTAAGTCTGACCATGCATGCATCTACACACCTGTACTCATCACCCTCTAGCACGGAGAGTCGGAGTACAACTTGACTGGAAAGATTGGAGGGGACTCCAACATCTCTGAACGTGGAGAGGCTTATGCCAAAGCTCTACCTGGTCTACTGAAGAAGTCCGGTGTACCGCCCAACACGAAGATTGTGATCTGGACATCCACGTTAAAACGTACCATCCAGACAGCACGTCACCTGGCTGCGGAAACTGGCTTCGAGAAACTGGAGTGGAAGGCTCTGGATGAACTTGACTCGGGAGTCTGTGACGGATTGACCTACGAGCAAATTGCCGAGAAGTACCCCGAGGATTTCGCCGCCCGCGACGAAGACAAGTACAACTACCGCTACCGGGGTGGCGAATCGTATCGCGATGTTGTCATTCGCTTGGAGCCCATTATCATGGAGCTGGAGCGCAGTGAGAACGTGATCATTGTGACGCACCAGGCTGTATTGCGCTGCATTTACGCCTACTTCCTCAACACACCCCAGGAGCAGAGTCCCTGGATGGAGGTCCCCCTCCACACACTTATCAAACTTACCCCGCGTGCCTATGGTACGGAGGAACAACGGTTCAAGGCTGATATTCCCGCCGTGTCGACCTGGCGTGCTAAGGGCACGTCGGCCAAGCACCAGGAATACTCCACGGAAACCAAGGCGTGAGCATATTTTACAAGGCACAAAATAGAATTAACGAGACTTAGTTTACTCTTCATCTGCACATATCGGGGCGCTTATTGAGAACATGCATGCTGGTTGGGCATAACCTGGGTTGATCGATTCCTGCCAGTCTTTACCAAACATTCTTATTGTACAATTTACATAATTGCTCTTTCATTCCTCTCTTGTGACTCTTCCGTCCGTTTTCAGAAAGATTTGGGGCGCTGGTTTAGTTATCTGAGGTAGGGTTGGGTCTGCACCTCTTCTTCACATTGGTTGCAACCCTTGTGGACTTTTTATTGCCAACAACGTTCATCTGTCAGTGGCGATACCCCAAGGTTATGGCGTGGGGCTATTAGGTAGCTTGGCTGTGGTCAATGCCAAACGCAGAAGCAATAAGATCAATCTTTTCAAAGCTCTTGCACGTGCCTCTTCATCCTAAGATTGACTTTACCTCTTTCTTTCTCACGACTTGCTCGCAGCAAAGCATGGACTATGACATTCCAACCAACGGGGCAAGGGCGCAGCTCTTAGAGTCAATCTTTTGATGCTCTATGACAGCCAGAAGAAATAAGCATCATTCATCAATTCTGGGACGATGGCGCATCTGGGAGCGCGTCAGACTGAAGTACCAACTTCGGCCATTAATCTGAAGGTGGCCGGTTCAAGCCCGGCTCGTCCCAACATCTTTTTTTCTGCTCTCTTTGGCTTTTTCTCTCTGTCGTGGCCTGGTGGGTCTACTTAGTGGTGGGTTTCTGGACAGGATGCGCCAATGGCGGACAAGCTCAAGCCCGGCCGGAGGTGAGGATGGCCAGCGGTGAGCGGTAGATAAAGCCTCAGGCCGTTGATGACGGAAGCGATAAGTTAGATACCTGAGACCCGACATCGACACCCATTTCTGTCGAGTCTTTCAATTGATCCTGAAAAATCTCTTTTACAATAACATGGTATGTGTCTGGGTATGGAGTAAGGTCTGGATCAGCACAGCTCCAATTGCATCAAGATATGTATAAACGACTTGCTCCAAGTTCAAGACATCATGGATGGCTTTGGGTGCTTTCATCCAATGGCAGCTGTAGCTCGCCGTAGTGGACTTGGCAGGTCCGGATTCCATGCGGCCAGGCAGCTTCACTTATACAACCGAACCTCTCTCTTGTCTAATCATTTACTCCCTGCACAACACGATTCACATACCATTTTTTACAATAACACGGCTCATTGAGAGCTGTCCTCAGCAAAAAGCGACTCCCCATCTTATCTCCTACAACACACCCAGCAACCCTTCGACTACCAACCACCTCAACATATCATGGCTGTGATCACCTCGGCCCGCTGATTCACCACTCCCCTCCTCCCTCTTTCAGCCCTCAAAACTCCACCGAGAAGCACCGGACATGCCTCTCCCTCCTTCCGGCTCGAAAGCAATATAGAAGAAATAAATAGAGACAGGTGCTACGCAAACTCGAGCCCTCATCCCACGCTACACATACTAGTACCTGACCCCGAGAAACCACCGTCAACCCCCGACTCGACTCGCCTCGACGTTCACACCGCAAACCCTCTACCCTCGGGCGACAACCTAACAACGCGACCCGCCAACAGCCGACTTCTCTTTCCTTTTTGTGGTTTCTAGCGCCCGAACTCCCCCTCCATCCCTTCACCAACACCTCGAAACCCGAAATCCGACGACCCCTCGGACAGTTTTATTTTCTCCCAAAGGGGGTCCGAAGGAGCCTAGGGCCCAAACCATGTTATCCGCCTTCACCGCTCGACCGCTCGTCGAGTTCAAACCGCGCGATCGATCGCGCATCGAGTCCGTTCTCGCGTACGGGGACCGGGTGCTCGTGGGATTGAACAATGGGAGTTTACGGGTGTATCGGGTGAATGAGGTGGAGAAGGAGGCTGCGGATGGTGATGAGGGGATGAATGGGCATCAGGATGGTAAGGGGAATCATGGGGATGGTGGTGCGCTTGGGAATAATGTTAATGGGAGTGTTGGTGCGAAGACGGTACCCGCTCGTGATGCTGAGGGTGGTGGTGGTGGTGGTGGTGGAGCGGAGTATGCGAATCCAGCGGCCAATGCTGCAGATCATGCGAATGCGAATGCTGCTCCAGCAGCCACACCACATGTGCCGGTCAAACTGAAACAGACGGATCTTCTGCGCGAGGTCGAGAAGTTCTCCCGGTACAAGGTGGAGCAGCTGGCTCTGATCAAGGAGGCCAAGTTGCTGGTCTCGTTGTCGGGCGGGTACGTCTCGATCCATGATCTGCAGACGTATGCGCTGCAGGAGCAGATGACCCGCACGAAGGGGGCGTCGACCTTTGCGGTGACGTCGAATATCGTCAATGATCCCGAGACCGGGGTGCCGTCGATCGTGTCGCGGCTGGCGGTGGCGGTGAAGCGCAAGGTCTTGCTGTGGGTGTGGCGCGATATGGAGGTCGAGGGTGAGGTGGTGGAGATGACGCTGGTCAGTGGCATCAAGACGCTGACGTGGGTGTCCGGGACGAGGTTGGTGGCCGGGCTGGGGTCCAGCTTTGTCATGGTCGATATCGAGACGGCCAGCGTGACGGATTTGGTCGGCCCCGGGAGTATCGGCGGGCTGGGTGGCCAGGAAACCGGCCGGTTGACGGGGGTCGGGGTCGCCAGTATGAGTTACATCGGCATCGGCGGGTCGGCTCCGAAGCCTCTGGCGACGAGGTTGTCCGAGGGCCAGGTGCTGTTGGCGAAAGATATCAATACCCAGTTCATCGATATCAATGGCGCGTCGCTGGGGAGGCGCCAGATCCCCTGGAGCCATGCGCCGGCGGATATCGGGTACTCGTATCCGTTTCTGCTCGCCCTGCATGACGCGTCCAAGGGGGTGCTGGAGGTGCGCAATCCGGAGACGCTGTCGCTACTCCAGTCGGTTCCACTGCCGTCCGCCAATATCCTGCATATCCCCCAGCCGACGATCAGCTTGGCCCATGCGGGCAAGGGGTTCCTGGTGGCGAGCGAGCGCACGATCTGGCGCATGGAAGCGCTGAGCTACGATACTCAGATTGACTCGCTGGTGGAGAAGGGCTACCTGGACGAGGCCGTGAGTCTGACTAGTATGCTGGAGGATGCGCTCTTGAGGGATAAGCAGGGCCGGCTACGTGCGATCAAGCTCGAGAAAGCGGAAGGGCTGTTTCGACTCCGGAAGTATGCGGACGCGATGGACATATTCACCGAGATCTCTGCGCCACCGGAAACGGTGATCAGGCTTTATCCCAAGATCGTGGCGGGAGAGCTATCGTCGGTCCCCGAGGAGCAAGAGGAATCCGAAGACAGCGCCACCGAGAGCCCATCCAAGACCCCCGACAACCAGAAGCAGGTGGATGGCAATCACACGGCGGATGCTGCTGTTGCGGCCACGGCCAAGACACTCTCGCATGCCCCGTCGGTCATGTCGCTGCTGCGGTCCAAGACGGAGACATTCGACGATGCGGCCAGTATCCGGACGAGGATGACCGAAGACGCCAAGCCCGACAAGGCCCTCGAAGGAAATGATCTCAAGTTGGCGGTTCGTGAGCTGCAGAGGTACCTGGCCGATGTCCGTCGACGGTTCCAGCGCTTTCTCAACCCCGATGGGTCACTGAAGGTGTTCGATCTGCCGGCGGACGCAGCCACAGATGAACTGACCGATTCTGTGATGAAGTTGCTCGAAACCAGCACCAAGGATATCCAGGATCTCGAGTTCGGGGAGAAGATTCGCGAGAAGGCCAAACTCGTCGACACCACCCTCTTCCGGGCGTACATGTATGCGATCCCTGCTCTGGCGGGGTCTCTCTTCCGGATCGCGAACTTCTGCGACCCGGACGTGGTCATGGAGAGGCTCGAGGAGACCGGCCGGCACAACGACCTGATCGATTTCCTGTACGGCAAGAAACTGCACCGCCAGGCGCTGGAGCTGCTCCAGCGGTTCGGTCAGGCGGAGGAGGAAGAGGAGACCGCTCCGCAGCTGCACGGTCCCAAGAGAACGGTCGTCTACCTACAGAATCTCCCGCCGGACCGGATCGACCTCATCCTCGAGTTCGCCGAATGGCCACTGCGAGAGGACCCCGAATTGGGCATGGAGGTCTTTCTGGCGGACACGGAGAACGCAGAGACCCTCCCCCGGCACCGCGTGCTGGACTTTCTGCGGGGCATCGATGTTAATCTGGCCGTGCGATACCTGGAACATGTCATCGGCGAGCTGAACGACATGTCGCCGGATCTACATCAGCAGCTGCTCAATTTCTACCTGGACCGTCTGAAGAAGTACAGAAACAAGGAGTGGGAATTCGCTAGCGAAGACGACCACGTCGCGTGGCGAACCAAGTTCCTCACCATGCTCAGGTCGAGCACGCAGTACTCGCCAGCCAAGATTCTAAACCGCCTGGACCGCGACGGTATGTCTGGCTTCTTGTCTCTCACCATCTTTATCCGCTGACTTGCCTTTCCCTAGATCCTGAATTGTTCGAAGCGCGAGCAATCGTGTTCAGCAAGATGGGGCAACACAAGCAGGCGCTGGAGATCTACGTGTTCAAGCTGGAGGACTATGCTAAGGCTGAGGAGTAGGTAACCACTGAGATAGAGTGAACTAGCCCCACGGCTAACTTTCTCTCAGATACTGCAACCATCTCCACAAACAGGACGATATAGCGTCTACCGAAGAAGGCGGGCCTTGTGTGGCGCTGCTGGCTTACGAAGAAGACAAGCCGTCGATCTATTTGACTCTCCTAGCACTCTATCTAACCCCGCCCCACGGATACAAGCCACGATATGGGCCAGCGCTCGAAGTGCTGGCCAAGCACGGGTCCCGCCTGCCCCCCGGGTCCGCGCTGGACCTGATCCCCGAAACCCTCCCGGTGAAGGAGCTCGACTTCTACTTCAAGGGTCGCATGCGCGCCGCCAACTCGATCCTCAACGAGAGCCGGATCGTGGCGAGCCTGCAGAAAGCCGAGAACATCAAGACCCAAGCCCAGCTGCTGGTGGGGGAGGGGACGGATCCCAAGCGGTCGAGATCCCGACATGTCACCATCACCGAAGAGAGGGTGTGCGGGATCTGCCACAAGCGGATCGGGGGCAGTGTGATCAACGTGTATCCAGAGTACGTCATTTTCTTTCCTTTTTTTTTTTTGGAAAGAAAAAGTTGGGTGCTGACTTGTGCCGCAGTAATACCGTTGTCCATCTTGGTTGCGCCAACCGCAAGCGGTCACTTTCATGATGTTGTCGATGTCGGTGTCGTTGTAAATAGAAGTTATGGTCTTGTTTCTTGTGGTATCGTATATTTGCGTTCCGTCTGTTCTTTTCTTGCTTTCTTTTTTTTTTTTTTTTTCTCTTCGTGATCTCCTTGTTCACATATTTGCCATTTTGGAGTGGGGCGGACGCTTCCTGCACGATGATACCCGGGGGGATAGCGATCTCTTTCATATTTTGCATCTTTCCTTTTTTTTCGAATCATATCATGTCATAGCCTACCCCTGAACCCTCCCTGAAAGTGTTCAATCTCATCATCATCATCATGTATTCACGTTCACGTTCACGGTCACACATCCACGTAAACCCTATTTTGTCGATGGCGTAGTTCAGCGACGCAATTGGAGTTGGGCACCTTTCAGCCCCGCGCGCTCACAGGTATGTTTCTGTTCGGTGGGATGACAGGTCCCGTTTTCTAGGTGCACGTGCACCCCTCAAGCATCCTCCTCCTCATCCACGACCTCCTCGCCGTAATTGGCTTCCTCCTTGGCTTCCTTCTCGGAGAGTTGGCCGTCGGCGGCCCGTTTGTCCTCTTCCATCTTCTCCGTCAGGAAGATGTTGATCTCGTTTTGCAGGGCCGGGACCTGTTTGCGGAGTTCGGCGAGGTAGGCTATTTTGGTTTGGGTGTGGGCGGGATCGGTTGAGGAGGTAGCAGCAGCAGCAGCAGGGAGAGGGGCGGCGATGGGTTGCGTGAAGGTTTGGGATTGTTGGTGGGGGGCTGTGTAGATTGCTTGGAGCTTCGTGGTGGTGGTGGTGGTGGTGGGGGTTGTGGAGGACATGGTGTGGGTTTGGATTTTTCGGGTTTTTGGTGTGAGGGATTGGGTTTGGGTTGTGGACTTTGCGTGGTGATGTAGTTTTCGTTTGGGGAGAGAGCAGGATCGGAGGGTGAGGTGTTGGAAAAAGATACTGAGTACGGAGTAAATGTTGAGTAAAAGCGGAAAGGTGGGGGGGGGGTTGAACCGGGCTGTAACTGGAAGGGAAGGAAAAGGAAGGGAGGGTTCAGTAGGTAAAGTTTCAGGTTTCAGGAGGAGATCGACAGCCGGCCGGTATTAATCTATCAATTCGATCAATGGTTCAATGGTTCAATGGTTCAGGTTGCTGATCTTCTCTCCAAGTCCAGGCAAAACGAGACTGGGGCAGAAATCCAATTCTGCATTCGATTAATTAACTCCATACCTTCATACCTTCATTCCTTCTTACTTTCTCTTATTGTCAGATCATGGAGTCCAGGTAGTAGTACTGTACACTCACTCACTCACTCACTCACTCACTCACAATGTTGCGCTCGCCGGTTTCTCCAGAGCGAGGGACGCGGTCTCCGATTCCTCCCCCTCCTGCTTCCCAGAGTCCTCCCCCTCCCATCCCTCCTCTTCCTCGACGTTCCTTTGACGATTCCTACTCCTACACTTTCTACAACCGTCCTGGCTCCTCTGGAAGTGATGCCTCGTCGATGACCTCCAATGTGACCACCATCTCGCCTCAGCAATCCAATTTCCCGCTGCCGCCTGGCACTGCCTCTGCCTCTGCCTCTGCCTCTGCCTCGCCGCGGCCACCGCGTATCTCCTCGCTCAACACCGCCAATCTCACCTCCGCTTCTACTGCCTCTACTACCACTTCGAATACTACCAACACCACCTCATCTGCGCGATCACCTGTCTCCTTCATGCCGCATAATGAGATCCTGAGTCGAAAGCCTTCGGGACGGGTCGTCCCGGCTGAGCTGCAGCGACGCTCTCGTCACCACTCCCAAGGTTTCTTTGAACCATCGCTCCCTACCGCTTCTTCCACCGAGGCCTCTTTGTCAGCTTCTCGTATCGCGGCCCAGACGGCCATGCTTCAACAACAGCAGCAGCAGCAGCAGCAACAGCAACAGCAACAGCAACAGCAACAACATCCTCAGAAACAACACCCACAACCTAACAACCTTCAACATCCCGTGAAACGACCCGCGACCGTACGAGGGGTCTCCGAAGACGGCTCCCGTTCCCGACGCGGCGGCAGCATCTCGCCCCCTCCCCCGCCTCCCCCACCCCCGACCTTCGCACCCCCCGGTTCGACAGCAGCCAGCGCGACTGGCGCATCAGCCGGGCAGCCATCCTACGCAAATGGCAGCGGCAGCACTAGCACCGCAGCTGGACACGCCCATGCTGCCACGACAGCGGCCAACGTGGTATTCCCCCGAAATCCAGGGCTCCAGCCCCCCGGGCTTGGGCTCGAGATCCCCCAGGAGCGCGAACACAAACACAAGGGCGAGAAGTCGAAGATGAAGCTCTTCTCGAAACCCAAGCACATCGGCATCAGTCGCGACAAGGACGGGACAGGGAAGGAAAGGGGCCTGCCCTCGCCAAGCAAGATGGGGTTCCCCAGTGGAGGCTTGTCCCGGATCGTCAGCGCTTCGACCACCAGCTTGGCGGAGACCTTCCCGTCGAACAATTCGTCCATGTACAACCTGTCGAATGCGTCCGCGAGCACTGTCGTGCCGGCGGATCGGCCGACAGGGAGCGAGAAAGAGAAGGACAAGGACAAGGAGAAACACAAACACCATTTCCTGTCGCGCCAGAAGCTGAAGCTGAAGGATCGCGACGATCACTACAACCTCCCGCTGTCGTCCGCGTCGAGTAATTCGAAGCCGTCAGACCCCAATGCACCGCAGTCCCTATACTCGTTTACCCCCGCGTCGCCGGGAGCCACCAGCACGACCTTCGGCAAGTCGGTGAGTGGGCTGGATCTGCTGCATGGCCTTCGTGAGAAGAAGAAAGAGGAGAAAGCGCAAGCTCAGGCGCAGGCGCAGGCGCAGGCGCAGGCGGAATCGGAGCAGATGGATTGGGCAACTAGTTCACAGGGGCCCGGAGGGTCGCCGGCTGTCTTCCCCGGGCCGTCGTCTTTGGGCAGTTCCTCCGGGCTGATCGCCGAGGCTGCGTTGCGGGAGACTCTCCAAGGGTTCGGGCTGAATAACATGACGCCGGAGGACGCTTGGGACTTTCTGAAGGCGAAACTGATGGTGATCTTCGACGGGGAGGACGTGCGCATTGCGATTGAGGATCTCAACAAGCTGGTTCTCGTCCATATTCAGCGATGTGTGCAGAAGCGCACTCCGGCGGCGGTGGTCGACGACCTGAGGGAACTGCTGGAGACCGGATTCGCTTCGCTGAACCATACCTTGAACGGGGTGCCGGATGAGAAGCTGGTGCCGCACCTCGTGCAGGTGTGGATGCTCGTGTTTGGCACAATCTTGCCTTTCATTCAGGCCGTGTTCTTGCCTCTCGACCTGGAAATCAAGGGCTGTGGGTCTGTGATGAACCGGCGTGAAGCCAGTGAATTCTGGGGGTCCGCACGCAATGCCGAGTACCCTGGCTGTGAGCTGGATGTGCGTAATCTGGTTCTTGTCGCCTTCCGCGACCGAATCATCCTGCGTCGCTACGAAAACCTGAAGTCGACATTTTCACGCCTGAGTCTCGACAGCATCAAGCTCGGCACGGCGGCGCTCAGCGTCACCACCAAGAGCAGTTCCACCAGTGGCGGACGGCCTCCCACCGCTGCCTCGCTTGACGGCAGCGGTGCCGGCGCCGGCTTTGGCAGCTACAGCTCCCAGTCCTCGACACTCCTCAACGCCCAGTCGGGGAGCTACTCCTCCGACTCGTTGCTCGGCCACAACAGCAACATTAACAACAGCAGCAGCAGTCGCAGCCGCGCCGCCTCCAACACCTCCTCCAATCCCGACCAGCTGATCTTCCAGTCTCTCTCCTCGCCGCCCCAGCGCCCGAGCATCATCCACCGGGCCAACGCGGCAGCCGACACCTCGCATATCATCACCGAGACCGTCGGCCGCATGCTGCAGTGCGTCAGCGTCCTGGCCAGCGTGCAGACCGGCGACAAGGCCCAGGAGCAGGTCGAGACGCTCGGCAAGGATCTGAAGCACAACTGGCTGGGCCGGGGGCGCACCGGCCGCGACCGGCGGGGGTTCGTGGGCACGAAGATCCGGCCGGCGATTGTGGCCCGCGCCGACAGTGACGAGTACATGAAAGATCTGGGCGGGCATGGGATGGGTCATGGCGATTTGGATGGACGCCTGCATGATGGGCGACTGCATGATGGGCGTCTGGAGATGATGAGTTTCTGAGTTTTGTCTGGTTGAGCTTGTCTGGTTGAACTTGTCCGGTTGAGCTTCGTCTGGTTGAGCATTTGTCTGGTACAAAATGATTTCTCCACACTTTTCTTCACTGCTCTTTCGTCGTTATTGCTTTTGATGATAGGATTTGGCATGGCGAGTGTTTGTGTTTTGGGATAGGTGGGTCTTATTCAATTGTTGGTTTGGAGCCTTAGTTTCTTTGGATGAATGATGGATTTTATGTGATTAGAGGAAGAAGAGAGACAAGTAGGCAAGTGAGCACTGATTTCGTATGCTTGTGCTAGTAGAAGGAAAACAAACCATGCAGGCAGAAAAGTAGTCAAGGCGGGAAAGAAATCGTTTTCGTCATGTTTTCAGAGATCTCACCTCCCCTTCAAGCTCCATATCAACCACGCGAAAAGCAGGAAACGCCGAAGAAAGACATGAGAAACCACCTCCCCTGCGTGCGGACCACTTTGAAGACAACTACGAACAGCTCCCTCGCAACCTCGGATGAGACGAGAGAAGTCCATCCTCTGAACCTGAACTGGAAGTAGAAACATCACTTCACACCACCTCTTCTTCCATCCTCAGCACCATCCTCTTCCTCAAATTCATCTTCATCATCCCCATCCCCAGCACCCCCGGAAGACAGAGACGACGACGAAGAAGTCGCATTCTTACCCACCGCCACGTGCGCAGCACCACCACCACCACCCTGCCCCTTCCCAAGCTTCACCCTCTCCAACTCCTTCCACTTCTTCACCAGCGCCGCCGCCGGGAACTTCTTCCCATGACTAGTACTCTCCATCTGCTCCGCAATCATCCGCCACTTCTCCTGCGCGAACTTGGTCTCGACGGCCTCCTTCGTGCGCCGGAATAGTTCTTCCTGTTGGCGTAGGTTTACGTAGCAAGTCAGCATAAGCATATCATACCCCGGATAACGTTTTCTTTCTGAGGAAGTGTGGGTTTTTGTTGGGGCAAAGGGGGCGGCGTACATCCTCCGGACTCATCTGCGAGAAATTCGCCTTCATGGCGTTGTAGCGCATGCGCAGCGTCGACGCGCCCACGGTCAGCTGGGTGATGTTCTGCCAGGCGGTGTTGATGTCGCGCCAGGTGCTTTGCCCGTCGTCGCGCATGGTGAGGATGAGGCGGTCGGCTGGGGTGGCGGTTGCGAGGCTGGTGGGGATCGGGGGGAGTTTGGTTTTGGGGGATTTGCTGGGTGTTTTTGGTTCCTCTGTTGTTTCCTCTCCTGCTGCTGCTGGGGTTTTGGAGGGGGTTTGTTTCTTGGGGGTGATCTTGGGGGTGGTGGTGCTGGATGGCTGCTGCTTCTTGGGGGTGGATTTGGACTTGGACTTAGCCTTGGGGTTGGGGGTGGGCTTGGACTTGGACTTAGCCTTGGGGGTGGATTTGGATTTGGGCGTGGACGTGGGCTTGGGCTTGGACTTTGAGGTCGTGGAGCTTGTGCTTGTGAGGTTCTCGTCCTCGTCCTCGTCCTCGTCCTCTTCTTCCTGCTTGTATTCTTCGCTGGAGTCGGTAATTGGGGAGGAGGAGGAGAGGGAGGAGAGGGAGGAGAGGGATGCCGAGGGCTCGGTTTTGGGTTTCTTGGGCGCTGGCGCTGGCGCTCCTGGGCTGGGGGATGGAGAGCGGGATTGGACGCTGCGCTTGCGGGTGGTCTGGGTTTTTGGTTAGTGAGGTTTCTCGTCGTTGCTTGTATCTCGTGTCTGGGGGATTTGTGCTGAGGTGCTTGCTTGGTTGTCATCGTGACGAGGGCTCGGGTTTCATGGTCATGGTGGTGATCATGGTCATGGTCATGTCACGGCCATAGTCATGTTACGGCCATGGTCATGGTGGTAATGAACGTTGCAGAACACTTACGCCAACACTCGCCTCACTCTTGTCCACGCTTCTCCGGTTGATGGGCGTAAATCCAGACGAGGGGGACGAACCCTCCTGGTCCGGGGGAGGTGACTCGGTCTCCGTCTTCATCGTAGTGTCTGTGTCTTGTTTGCGTGGCGAACTCGCTGGGTGTCTTGGTGTGGTGGTTGGGTTCTTGGGCGAAGAGATGTTGATGGGATGAAAAGAGAGTGGTTGTGTGGGAGGTGAGTGTGTGGTTGTGGGAGTGTGTGGGAATGGATTCAGGGTTTAAACTCGGCGAACAGGCAATAAGGGCTTTCTGTCACTTTTCAACTGAGTATTCACTCTGGGGGATCCTTAGGCTGGGTGGGTGTGGGTGTGGGTGTGGGTGTGGGTGTGGGTGTGGGCTTCTCTCATTCACATGGCTCATCACGATGTCATCTTTCACTGGGCTCTCTCTTCTTAGTCATGGCCCTCGTCGCTGGGGACGATATCTGGTCTGTGTAGGTGATGGTCGGTCACTTGGGTCCTGAGGGAGGGGGTTTGAGTGTTACGTGGGCTGGGTAGAGGGACTCAGGCTTAAGGGGCAGTTGCTTCAGGGAGATGGGGTGTTTACATTGCTTGTATGCTGGGGCTTGGGTTGGGATCATATTCATGGTTTACTTGTTGTGGGATCATGACATGCGTCGCGGAGGATGAATGTTTTCTGGCATCGTTGATGGTCATTTGATCCCAGTTAAAAGTTATATGAGGGTTCCCTGTGCTAGGAGGCATTTGACTCAAGGTCAGTCGCCATGGTGAGGATGGAATATCGACATTGCTTGTATGTTGGAGCGTGGGTTGAGGTGGTTTAAACTCACCATTCATGGATCCATTCGATCTGGGTAGGAGATATTTGACTTGAGAAGGTAGTTGCGGTAGTGAAGATGGAGTACCACATTGCTTGTATGTTAGAGCGTGGGTTGAGCTGGTCTCGAAACCAAAATTCATGGGTCCACTCTACACGAATCTTGGAACTCGCCGCTGGGGATCGATATGTGCGTCGCTGATAACCGTGGTCATAGTGATAGATTTGAGTGAAGGTCGAGGGACATGAATGTGAGGTTCGAACCTTCAAGCCCATGTGCCGATTACTCTATATAAACAGCATATATTCGCTGTAGCTACCGACAAAATTGTCAGAATGATGAACGCTGGATAGCTACAAGTAACCGGAGTAGTTACCATATCAAATTATATGTCTGTATAGTAGGCAGCTTCCTGGCATGGCACCAGAAAAGCTCTTGTCGAGCTACTTAGCACTGCAGTCAATTAGGGCTCTCCGTCCACCTTTATGCAGCATGGATCCTGCTGACTAGCTTTCTTCACAACTTCCTCCAATCTTACTATCTAGTTCAGTGGCACAGACAGCCTGGGGCTCTTCAGCTCCGCTCACCTCAGATCCAGTAGCTCATGGAGATCATTGGGGTCTCTTCTGGCACTGCAGCTCCAAGCGCTGCACGGACTGCAGGATGGCACGGTGCAGTGCAGGAGCAGTCCCAGTGTGATTCACACCATCTGAGTCAATCAGTCAATCATCCTGGATGCTGCCTACCTGCCGGCCTGCGGCTGGAAATGATGCAGCTGTTGAGTGCTACCAGCCAGCCTTGCCTGCCTGTCAGTCTGTCAGTCTGTCAGTCTGTCAGTCTGTCAGTCTGTCCTCCGTGACTGAAAGGCACTTATAGTACGGAGTAGTAACTTCTCTCCTTCCCCATGATCCTGGTTCCAAACTGCTCCTGCTGATCATCTCGTTTCTTTTCATTTTTTGTTTTTCATCTTCCCATCTTTGTTCACGGTGATAGGAATTTCTTTTTCTTTTTCAGGTTCCTTAAATTGCATCGTCGCCTCACCTTTTCCCACGCGGATCCTCTTGCACACCGCCAGAACGGGGAATTGAGCCAACCCTGTGAGTTCGCACGCAAGGCGGCCTTCTTAGGCATCAACCGCCCATCCCACAGGCCCTTCCCGGCCGGCCTGCCAGCCTGCCTGCCCTTTTGTTTGTTCGCTGGTCAGCTTCGTCCTTCTCGTTGTTTTCTTTTCCTACCTTCTTTCGCTCTCTCTCTTTCTCTCACGCCCTTGCTCTCTTGCTCTTCTTCTCTCTTCCACCTTCTTTTCCTCTTCCTCTTCCTCTTCCTCTTCCTCTTCCTCTCTCTCACTTATTCTCATTACAGCTACTCAGTATTTGCTTCTACTGACCTACTGACCCACTGACCCACTGACCCACACGAATAGTATAGATCATAATAGGTCATAATACAACATCCTCAACATCCTCAACATCCTCAACATCCTCATCATGGCTGATAATTCAGGAAGTGCACCAACCAGCACCACTCAACATCACCATCATCCTCCATCCGATCCTCCGAATACTACTTCTCCCAGTGGTACTACCACCACTACTCCTCCTACCACGACCAGTCCCACTAATAAGCTGGACTGTGACCCGCCTGCGGAGACCAATGCGGGTAAAGCAGAGGCCAAGCCGCCAGTCCCCGCCCCCGAACCCGCCGCCAAAAAGACCGCGACGGTCTGTGCTAAACATCCCCCCGCCGCCGCTTCCTCCGACTCTAAGAAGAAGCCCCGTCGCTCCACCAAAACCTCCTCCATTGTCACCCCAAGCGATGACAGCTCCTCTGCTGCCGATTCCGACAGCAACGACTCAGAATCCACCACCAACGACTCCGCCGCAGATAAAGATGCCTCCACTTCCTCCTCTAGCTCCTCTAGCTCCGACGAATCCGAGGTAGATCGCAAGCATCGTCGCAAGCGCGGCAAGGCCCGAGCCAAGAAAGCCCTGAAGAGTGGCGGTCGCAGGAAGAAGTCCACCCGCTCTCGCCAACAGTCGGACTCAGACTCGGATTCATCGTCCCAGGATGGCGAGGACACAGATTCCGATCTCGATGAGAAGACCCTGAAGAAGCTGGTCGCCAAGCTCAAGGCCAAGCGATCATCCAAGAAATCGCGCTCCAAGGAGGACTCGTCTGAGGATCAGCAGGATGACAACGAGGATGACGGCTCGGATGACCTGGCCTTGCTGTTGGCAAAGCAGAAGTTGGCTGCCTTGCGACTGAAGTTGTCGGATGGTCGTCGCAGTAAAGGACGCAGAAAGCGGGGGTCAACCGATGCAGATGGTTCAAAGGGGTCGTCACAGAAGTCCAAGGGCCGGAAGAAGGCCGCGTCTAAGATAGCTTTCAAGCGGGTGGATCAATGTACGTGCTGCTGCGACCCTTCCCCATTCATAGCAGGTGCTTTCCAGCAGCAAACTCACAGTTACGGTGGACTAACGGCTCACTAATCTAGTATGGGACAATACGATCCATAACTACAAATTGACTGAGACGGTCGATGATCCTGGTGCCAGCGAGTGGGACCAATACCTCTTCACAGTACGCCGCAAGTTCGACTGGGACAACAAGTATACGGAGACGGTGGTGGACCTCAAGAGCAAGTACATCCGCGATGCGCTGGCCAAGGTGATGGACGGAGTCAAGGGTGTTAGTCTGGTACAGGAAACGGCGGTCGTCGATCCCAACATGCTCTTCCTGTACTTGGAGGAGACACGGCAATATATGCGCGAACTGCGACAGCTGGCCAAGACGGAAAGAAAGAAGAAGGCTCGCAAAGCAGCTCAACTCAAGGCCGCTCACCTGAAGGTGCTTGTCAAGTATCTGGATACCGACTATGCAGAGACCAAAAAGACCCTGTATCCTCTGCTCGACGCCAACATGATCACCTTCGACCTGTTGTGGGCCATCTTCAAGCCCAACACGATTGCCTATTCATCGACCTACGGGAATGTGGATGAGCCCCGTGCCTTCAAGATTGAGTACGCTACCAAAGAATCGTCCTTCATGAAAGGTCAGTGGTACAGCATCGAAGGGCGTTATCTGGAATACGACGGCAAGTCGTTCGGAATGGGCACGATGGCTGCGGAGGTCGAATCCTTCAAGGGTTCGCGGAAAATCACCAGTCTTGGCTGTTATCCGCTGAAATATCATCGCGAGGCGGAGGCAGTTAAGCTCAAGCTGATCGAGCGGGGCAAGAAGTTCGTGGCATTGCGTGGCATGAATTACCGCTTCCACAAGGGCATGGGCTTCTACAAGAAGAAGCGCTCTGTGATCAAAGTCAACATCAACGGCAGGGTCATGATTGACCCGGCTATTCATCGTCGCATCAATCCCAACTATCCTATCAGTACCGTTCGCCCCAAGGATCCGGATTACCTTGATGGGTCGGACGGAGACGGGAGCGATGATGGTTGCTGCTGTGGCGTGTCGGATTCGGATTCGGATCAGGGTTGCGGGCCATCGCGGGACTACGACACCCCCAGAACACGCTATAAGGTGGTTCGAGACAAGGAGGGAAAGCCACACGTGGTTGAAGTGGAACTGGACGAGAACGGTAACGAGGTACAGAAAGAGGACATTGACGAAGTGGATGACCCCTCCGAGCGGGATTTCACCGAGGAGGAGCTGCTGATCGCGAGCCCAGTAGTCCTGGGGTTCGCCTTTAGCGAGAAGCTGTGGCTAGAGTTCAGCATCTCTGGAGTCAGTGAGATTGAATGGAACGAGGAGGCTTTCAGTTCTCTGGTGCTGCCTGACAACCAGAAGTCCATTGTGAAGGCGCTGGTCGAGTCCCACACCTTCCGAGCTGCCCAAAACATCGATGATGTGATCCAGGGCAAGGGCAAGGGGCTAGTCGCCGTACTTCACGGTCCTCCAGGGACAGGTAAGACGCTCACAGCAGAAGGTATCGCCGAACTGCTCAAGCGTCCTTTGTACATGGTCAGTGCAGGAGAATTGGGAACCGACTCGCGCACGCTGGAAGCCGAGCTCAACAAGATTTTGGATATTGCCCATTCCTGGGGTGCGGTCCTCCTGCTCGATGAGGCCGATATTTTCTTGGAGAAGCGCACCATCCAGGACATCCACCGCAATGCCCTGGTCAGCATCTTCCTCCGTCTCCTGGAGTACTTCCAAGGAATTCTGTTCCTGACGACTAACCGCGTGGAAACCTTCGACGATGCGTTTCAATCCCGCATCCACGTGGCGCTCCGCTACGGCGACCTCACCACCAAGGCCAAGCGCAGTGTCTGGAAGATGTTCTTGGAGAAAGTCCAGGCCATGGACGGTGTGCAGACTGCCACATTCACCGACAAAGACTTTGATCTCCTTGCCCGCCACAACCTGAACGGACGCCAGGTAAGTCCATTGCTCTACTGGTTAGTCTCCATGTTACAACTACTGACACTTCTATCTTCCCTTCAGATCAAGAACTCCGTCCGCACAGCGCAAGCCCTGGCAGTCAACGAGCAGACTCCCCTCTCCATGGAGCATATCAAGCGGGTCCTTGCCGTGGCCGAAACTTTCGACCAGGACCTCCGCGGTGGAACGGGATACCTGGACGCCATGAGAAGCTATACCTAAGGAGGCTGCTGCTACGTACACGGCAACGATGCCCTCCACCCCACACTCTCATACCTTCCTACGGCCGTTTTGTCATTGACCTGCCCCTGCAAGATCCTTTTCAACATTCCCCTCAATCTCTCACGACTTGTGTTGACATCTCCACTCCTGATTCTGACGAATGCAACGATGACTAAGATAAAGACGAAGAGCAAATTGGCGTTTGGAAAGAAATATCTCCCCTCGAGCATGTTGTGCAAATCTTGATTTTGTGTTGTTCTCATGGAATGGATGGGGAGGAAGAAATCTCAAGATGGATGAGAGCTTGATGATCATGCAATTTTCCGACGAAGTCATGAACGACACGCGCGCATCGCCTGGTTATCCTTGGTCCGGAGTCGATTTGAAGTTCTTTTTTTTCTGATGAGCCATGATGGAAATGACGATTTGATTTTGATTCTGATATTCTCTTTGAGAGTGTGCATGCATGTATTCATTTGATCTGTCTTGAGCATTAATCTATTGCCTGAATCTGACGTAATGCGGTGTTCCATCTCCCGTTGTACTCTCCGAATCGGGAGGTGATGCTAGACAGTTGTGCTGCTGGTATGGAAGGCTTTGAGTCTACACTACCGCAATACGTGCTCAGTCTTATAGCATGCAGAATCGCCATCAATGTCATAAGAGTAGTATCATTAACATAGATTTTGGTCTGTATTGAGAAGCGGGAAAATACACATCATGGTCCATTTTCCCCCCATCACAGTCCCCCTCGAGGCGTCGGGACACACAAAGGAAAACCCGATGACCCATGCTTCCATGATGCTGCAGCAACATTCCTCCGATATAAAAGCCAAGGGCGGGTTAGGATATTTAGCGTGACAGGGGAGAAAGAAGAATTGACTAGACTGTTATACAAGGAGGAACGTGGCTGCAGAAAAGAGGTTTTTTTTGTTCATATCATCCCAGATGAGAGAATTAGATCATTTAAGGGTTAGCCTTAACGAAGTCACGGCCTAAAGTGATACTCAATTAGCACCTGGGTCGAAGGACTAGGTCTTTCGGGACTTGAACTTACCCTTCTGGATGTTCTTCTTGAGGTCACCGAGGGCGGTCTCGACGAGCTTCTGCTCGTACTCGTTGACGGGGCCGACGGGGTTGATCTTCTCAACACCGTTGGGGCCGAGCTCGACGAGGGAGGCGAAGTAGTCAACTCCCTGGTCCTTGTAGAGAGGGGAGTCGACGAAGGTGGGCTCAACGATGCCCTTCTCGCCCTGGGAGGCACGGAGGAGGGACTCGGCGAAGCGAGCACCGGCCATGGCCATGGAGAGGGTGGCGGAGCCGGCACCGTCCTTGGCCTTGACGACCTCGTCACCACCGAACTGGATGCGGTTGACGAGCTCATCGCGGGTGGTACCCTCGATCTCGGGGTGGTTGGACTGGGAGAGGAGGGGGACGATGGTCACACCGGAGTGACCACCGACAACGGGGACGGCCTCGCCAGCGGGGTCGGTCTTCTTGACCTGGGAGATGAAGCGGGAGGCACGGACCACGTCGAGGGTGGTGACACCGAAGAGACGCTTGGGGTTGTAGACACCCTTGGACTTGAAGACCTCGGCAACGATGGGGACGGTGGAGTTGACCTGGTAAGATGAGGATGAACGATTTAGCTCGAGTCCTGTGGCCGATCTACAGGGGCTGGGTGAATCAAGGAGGGTTCAATGCATACGGGGTTGGAGATAACGAGGATGTTGGCCTCGGGGGAAGCCTCGGCGGCAGCCTTGGCAAGGTCGCGGACGATGGAGGCGTTGGTGTTGAACAGGTCTGCGATGATGCTATCAGTTTTGTTTTTTTTTCTTTGTGCCCTGGATTTGTTGGGCTCGAGGCTTCAGCGCATACCGTCACGGGTCATGCCGGGCTTGCGGGGAACACCGGCAGGGATGAGGACGACCTCGGAGCCCTTCAGGGCATCACGGAGGCCAGAGGCAGTGGGCTCGTAGCCGGTGACCGTGCTGTTGGTGTTGATGTGGCTCAGATCAGCGGCGACACCTGCAATGGATGATAGTCAGTCTTGTTCTTGTTCTGGGTCGATGGTCGAGATGGAATTGATGCCGGGTTGGCCGGGGGAGCTGAGCTGTGCGACATACCAGGTCCACCGCGGATATCGTAGAGAGCAAGCTCAGTGACACGGGGGTTGAGCTTGAGGAGGAGGGAGAGAGGCTGGCCAATACCACCAGCGGCACCGAGGACGGCAACCTTGGAAAGCTACAGCTCGCAATTGAGATGATTAGTTCCGGTGATCACGATAGAGCCGAGGCTGCAAGCCATCAAGGTTTGTTTTTCTTTTTTTATTATTTTTTAAAAGCTTACCTGGCTGGAAGAAGCGGAGAAGCTACGCTTCTGGAAAAGGTTGAAGGACTGACGAGCAGCGAACATCTTGACTGTGAAGGGGGAGGAAGACAGAAAAATAATCTATCTGGATTATACAAGAGGAATGAGAAGATGGGGAAAGAAAGGAAGGAGGAGAAACGGAGAAGAAGGAAGAAGAAGAGGAAGAGACGGACGGGAGGGCGGCGTCGGTGAGAGTAGACGGAACGGGAAAGGGTTTTGGTTTGGTTTGGTTTGGGGGGGGGAAATCCGGGTGGGTTCAGGTTGGAGCGGCTAAAAGGAACCCAACACTGCAATAATAATAATGAATGCTTGCCGGATCCGATGCTCATGCCAGCCACCAACAACAAGGAGGAGAATCCCCAAGTCTGCATCCATCTTTGATACTTTAAGTATTCCGTACTCCGTATTCTTCCTTGAATTGAAATCTATCTGTACTCTGTCCATTTGTTCCGAGAGCCAAGGATCTATCCAATTGCTGCTTTGTTGCCTTCCAAGTTGCCCCGTGCTCCATCCTACTCCGGGTTAGCCGACGTGATGCCAGACTTGGATGTTGCGCTCGTCGACGCGATTCCATCCGGCTTCTCCACTTATCGCGCTAGTAATTCAACTCCGGACTCCAAAATGCCATCTGATAATCTCGCGATCATCTCTGGTATACAAAAGTACAAAAGTACAAAAGTACATGCCTTCGTTTCCCAAGGAGAGAAAGAAAGAGAGAAAAAAAAATAGAAAATTAAGAACAAAAGAAAAAACAGGAGCTATTGATATCTCAACCAATACAGTGCCCAACGCCGGCGCTTGCCAAATGAACCCTCAAGTAACACAAAAGCAGAAAAAAGAAGAGTGCCCCCAGATGGCAGCAGGAAGTACATCTCGACCCCCCCCTACAAAGGGCTTCCTACCTCAGAAAGTGTAGTACCGCCCAGCAGAAGAGGAAGAAGATGAGCACCCCGGCCCAGAAAATCCACTTGTCCTGCTTCGCCCGCCGCTCCACCTTGCGAATCGTCTCCCCACTGACCCCCAACGTGTTCGCAACACTGTAAAGTCGACGCTGCGTGCCCTTGAGCACCTCGCGCTGTTGCCCCAAATCCGCCAGGACGGCGCGACCCCGATCGAGGAACTCATCCAGCTGCGTACCGGTATTGGCGAGGAAGCTCTGCTCGCGCAGCGCATGAGTCTCGCGGGTGTAGTCGGCCGCGCCGCCGCCGAATCCCAGGCCCGATCGGGCCGAGGACGGGTTGCCGAACGGGGATGGGTTGGGCAGGGAGGATTGCGCGTAGGGGTTTTCGGGGGTGGCGGTGTTGTGTGGGCGTCGGCCGAGGAGCTCGTTGCGGTTCGTTACGGATTGCTGCATTGAGAAAAGAGGTGGTTAGCAACGGTCGGCCCAGCAAACGTGTATGTAGAATAGGGTCGAGGAATGCGCTTACTGCATCTTCTCGTTCTTTGCGCAGTCGCTCGAAGTGTAGCCGGTAGTCTGCAAGCTCGGTGCGGAAGTTCTTCACTCGCTCGAAGGCTTTCTCTTGCTTCTCCGGGATCAACTCTTTTTTCGACAGGGCAGAGTAGTCATCGATGGTGCGGGATAGTGATGCCAGCGAGGCCGCAATTTGACCTGTCGGTTCAGCAAGTTAGCCCGGGATTTCCGCAGCGAGAAATAACCCCATCTAGCGAAGGAATCGCACCTTGTAGCGCGGCGGACGATGTGGCCGGCGACTGGGAGAATGTGTCCAGATCGCGGCGGATAGCAGAAGACTGCTTCAAGGCGGAATTGAAAAGAGAATTCTGTTTGATGGAATCAGCAAAGGCATTTCCCTTTCTCCCGAGGCAGTACTGGAGGACGGCGTTCGCCTTGACCTGACGTGGTGAGGGTCATACCATCTTTTCTTGCGGTGTGTCCGATGTCGTATACAGAGGCTAGTACAACGATGTGCGGCGCAATAACAAACGCTTGAGCCCTGTACAAGCGATGTGGAAAATAACCTTTCGCAGTGATGAAAGTAGTATATGACAGTGGACTTGCTTGAATGAGCCGTGCGAGAGCAGCGACGTGTCCTGAAGAAATACTGAGTAGGCGTTTCAATGATGCTAATAATAATGATGCTAGCCAAGGCCACATGTTCTTGCAGAGGCCACGATTCTGACACGGCTGACCGCCTCCCGCCAATGCAAGTCCATGCATGTCCAACCGACATCGATCGTCCATTCTCGAACTTTAAATTTCCAGCAGGCTCGCAACTGGTCTTACGTGTTTATCAACGACTGGACCCTGTCAAGCTAATCCTGAAATCTAGTTCACTTTTCTGACATCGTTCAGAATCTACTCTAAACATCGCAGCGAGCATGGGACTACCGAAAGCTAAGCGGAGAAGAGCATATGGATGAGATTGAGATGGAATTAGCTAAATCTCGACCGAGCACAAACGCCTGGACATCATGAAGAACGCCATGTATCCTCGAATCCGTGCGGTATATGGAACTATAAACAAACCACACAGGAGAAACCAAAAGAAACATCAGGATATCAAGTTATCAAACCACGCAAGACAAGTACTTGAGTTTTCGTTTTCCCCATCTATTTAGGAGGGTACTTGTTCTGCAAAAGCCACCTGATCAATCACGTTAGCAACGACACACCAAGCAAAGATAAAGCGGCGTATAGCCAGAAGATCGACTTACTTGCTGACAAAGTAGTCGATGGTACCGACCGCGCCCACGATTCCGGACCACAATCCGACGAGCTGCCATGACAGCTTACCCTGCGCGTGCTTCTTGTATGCGCCAAAGCCCAGACCCGCGCCGGTCAGGGCCAGGATGACCGCGTTTCCGAGGTAGACGGGGTTGCTCTTGTTGCGGCGCACGCTGTTGGCCTTGGCCTTGGCCTCGGCCTTGGCCTTCGCCTTCGCCTTCTCGATCCGTTCGCGCTCGGCGATGGCTTCCTGCTCCTCGCGCTCTATCCGCTCGGCCTGCGTCGTGGTCTTGACCTCCTGGTTGAGGAAATCGGCGTCCACGGACTGCACGTGGGGGGAGTCGACGTCGATCAGGGAGGCGGTGCTCTCGGATTCATCCCGGTACACCCGGTTGATATCGGGAGCGCGACTGTAAAGCTCGGGTTAGCTTGGTTCGTTGAGCTGGGTGTTTGGATTGCTCGTAGTCGATGCACTTACGCCTGGAAACATTGTCAGTACATTTGGTGATCAACACAGTTGCGCTGGAACAGCGACAATGGGACGGACGAAGAAATAGCACATACCTCCTCGGGGGACTGCTTGGGACCCTTGGCTGCGGCTTCTGCGTAAGACATGATGACCGGTTGTGTGTCACGAGAGTGGTTGCGTGATAAGGTGGTAGGGATCTGCGATGTCATGCGTTAGTATTGCCTGTCAATGAAGAAAGGTGGGAGTGCTGCCATAATAGGTCAAAGCACAGCAAATAAGGATCGAGACGCACAGGTTGTAGATGCGAAGCAATTCAGAGTGAGTAAAGTATTACAGAGAAAGAAATCTCGAGTAAAGTTTCAGGGGATGGGAATGGGCAGCCGGAAGGTATTTATGGGTTGGTTGCAGCCATGGCTGGGAGGGGGGTGGGAATGACATCACGTCATAGACGGACCTCATGCGACAGCGCCCGCTGCCAAGGCCCGGTCGGTGATCTCGCCCATGGCTGGCGTTTGCGCTTTTGCGCTTCTGTGTGTTTGATGTTTCCGAGGCTACCTGCCGCTTCGTTTTACCTTGCTCACGCGAATTGGCACAGCTAATCTAGGAGGACAGATCGACTCCAGCAGTCGGCCTTTCTTTCAATTTCATACATATCTGCATGCCTAACACCACGAAGTCTACTGTTTTGAACCACACTAAGAACTAAACATAGGAAATGCATTGTGAAAGGGTTATGAAACTGTGCTGGGGGGACCATCTTGGTCTAGGGGATGTGGAAAGATTCAGATGGTTTTAATACATATTACAACAACATCAAAGGGAAAGGTAACTCCGATCGTAGCTAACTAAAATACTGGGCCGGTCGGAATTCCCGCTCGCGGGAAAGAGCTTACAAAAGAAGCTCAAGGGGGTTCTCAACAACCTTCTTCAACTCCTTGATCCACTCAGCACCAACGGCACCATCGACAACCTTGTGGTCGAAGCTACCGGTGACGACGATCTGGTCATCCCACTCAACAGCGGTGCCCTCGGCGGTCTCGACGGGGACGGCAACCTTGCGGGTGGTGCCAACAGCCAGGATACCGGCCTGAGGGGGGTTGATGACGGCGGTAAATCTCTCGACGGCAGCGTTCATGCCCATGTTGCTGATGGTGAAAGTACCACCCTGGTACTCCTCGGGCTTGAGCTTGTTGTCACGAGCACGCTTGCCGAGATCCTTGATCTGGTTAGAGATGCTGGACAGGCCAAGACCCTGGACGTTCTTGACAACAGGGGTGATGAGGCCGTTGGGGGTGGCGACGGCAACGCTGATGTCGGCGGTGTTGTGCTGGCGGATGACAACCTGGCCGTTCTCCTCACGCCAGCTGGAGTTGACAGCGGGCACCTTCAGGAGGGCAGCAGCGCAAGCCTTGACGAGGAAGTCGTTGACGGAAAGCTTGTACTTGCCGTCGGCGGAGGCGTTGAGAGCCTGACGAAGCTTGAGAAGCTTGGTCACGGACAGAGTAGTGGAGACGAAGTAGTGGGGGTTCTCGCGCATCGACTGCTGAAGGCGAGAAGCAATGGTCTTGCGCATGGAGGTAAGGGGGATGTCCTCGTAGGTGGCAGCGGCGGTGGCGGCAACGGAAGGCTGGTACTTCTCAACGTCCTCCTTGGTGATCTGGCCACCACGTCCAGTGCCCTTGAGAGCCTTGATGGGCACACCCTTCTCAAGAGCAAGGGCCTTAGCAGCGGGGCTAATGTTAGCCTCACGGTCCAGAGCGGGCTGGAGCTTCTCACCCGAGGTCTCAGGCTCGATGGCAGCGGGCTGAGGCTCAGGGGTGGAAGAAGCGGGGGCAGCCTCTTCCTTGGACTCGGACTTGCTCTCCGCAGCACCAGCAGCGGGCTTCTCGCTACCGGCATCCTCCAGGGTGAAGCTCTCGAAAGCCGAGACGTCGGTACCCTCCTCGACCAGCACGGCGATAGGCTAATGCGCGGTTAGCAACGGCCTCGACACGAACCGGATTTTACCGGTGGCAAAGAGAGCATAGGAAATCACGTACAGAGCCAACAGCAACGTCCTTCTCGCCAGTCTCCGACAGAACCTTGGCCAAGACACCCTCCTCTTGGAACTCAAAGTCCATCTGGGCCTTGTCGGTCTCAATCTCCACCAAAACATCACCAGGCTGGAGAGCATCACCTGCCTTCTTCTGCCAGGCACCAATGTTACCGGCGTTCATAGTCGGCGACAGAGCGGGCATGCTGATGATGGTGTGAGGGGGGAAGGCTGTTGAGTCCTACTTGTCAGTTTTCGATGAAGCCACATAACGGAGCGGCAAGAATCAACAAAAGATGGTAAGCGGGCATACACTTGGAGGCATAGTAGCGGGAGAGTGCGGATAGGGAGGGAAATTGAGATCTGTAGAAAGAGAAGGTGTGATTAGTGGCCGTTTTGAAGCTCATTCGGTCGAAATAACATACTGAGCAAGATCCTTGAATCTGTGAACGGTCTGCGGCCGCCTCAGGGAAAGGGCGCCTTTGGAGAGAAACATGGCGCTGGGGGTGCGCATCCGGACAGCAGAGGCAACCATGGCGCCCAAGTGCTATGAAAAGGTCGAGAAATGAGCCCGCGACGGGAGGGAATGAGAGAAGGAGGATGGAAGAGAGCCTAGAGACTGGTCTGGCAGATGAAAGGGCCCGTATCGAAGAGTTGAGGACTGCAGCTCCAGGAACTTTTCTGTTGAGGCTACCGGTGAGACCGTCCGGAGTGATTATCGCCGGCCGCCCCGAGACAGCTTAGCTAAGCAGCCCACCGCGGTTGTGGCTCACTACGTCGCCCGTACGGTATCTCCGTCGTCCGCGGGAGTGAACACGCTGCAATTCCCCCGGAACTGCTTGTTGTCTTGTTAGTAAACGAAAGGTTGGGCTGGCGTTTATTTTCCACCTGCAGTTTCTTTTTCCCGTCCCTCCTTTAGTCCCATGTGGACCCCTTTTCTATCAATCTTCAACCACTCCGACCGGAGTCTTGCATAAATGGCGGAAGTCGAAAACGGCTCTGTCAATGAGCCCGCTCAAACATCCCCGGTTGTGCCGCAGGCAGACAACAAGGATGCGGCTGCTGCTGCTGTATTGACACAGTCGGACGACAACTCCGTCCCTCACGACAATCGAACCCTGCCCGCTGAATCGGAACGTCAACAGATAGGTACAGATCAACCCGAAGAAAATATTCAGTCATCTACCGAGCCAGAGTCCACTGCAAACACAGAGTCAGCCGACCAAATCGCAACTCCGACAGATGCCGCCGTACCCCAGGATCCCGATGTCCAACATGACTCCGAATCAAATCTGAAGGTTGAAGCTCCCGAGAGTCAGCCTGAAGATTCCGCTACCAATGTCGAGAAGGAAGCCCCCTCCGAAAGACACGATGTGGCTTCGATACCTCCCCGCGATGAGCTTGGCCCGGATACAAGAATGCGCTCGGACTCGAGGTCCACCACTGCCACAGTTGCGACGCACCGCTCTGTGACCCTCAGCTCTACCGTCTTTATAGTCAGTGCCTTGGATGCAATCGGTGCTTCCAAGGAGGCCCGCAGGAGCAAACAACTGGAGGATGCCGTCAAAAGCGCGCTCAGCAATGTCAAACAGTCTGACGGCCAGCCGATTGACCCTGAGGTCATATTCCGTCCGCTCCAGCTCGCCACCAAATCATTCAGCATCCCTCTACAGGTCACTGCGCTTGACTGTATCGGAAAGTTGATCACCTACTCCTACTTTGCATTTCCGTCGGCCCATGAGAGCAAGACCTCCGAGAACGAAGCTACTCCGGAGCAGCCCCCCTTGATCGAGCGAGCCATTGATGCGATATGCGAATGCTTCGAGAATGAGGCTACACCAGTTGAAATCCAACAGCAGATCATCAAGTCCCTTTTGGCGGCAGTCCTCAATGACAAGATTGTGGTACACGGAGCGGGTCTCCTCAAAGCTGTTCGCCAAATTTACAACATCTTCATTTACTCCAAGTCGTCGCAAGAGCAGCAAATAGCCCAGGGCTCGTTGACGCAGATGGTCAGCACTGTTTTTGATAGAGTCAACGTAAGACTTGAGCTGAAGGAGCTGCGGTTACGTGAAGGTGATAAAGGGCACGGTAGCTCTTCGGACAATGTTACGCTGGAGGCCGCCGACGCTCCTCAAGAGGATGAACATGTGCATGACGAAGTTCATGAAGCAAGCTCAGACCACCCTGTCTCGAAAGAGCCAGGGGAGAAGCTCACTCTGCAAAGCTTCGAATCGAACAAGGAGGTGACCACAGTCAATGATAATGCGCCAACCATGGTCACCCGCGCCAGGAATCAGAGGCCGGCCCGATCTTCTTCGGGGACCTTCACCGAAGAGAGCGACAGCACCGCAGATGATGATGAAGATGAAATCTACGTCAAGGATGCTTTCCTCGTGTTCAGGGCTCTTTGCAAGCTGAGTCACAAAAATCTGAACCACGATCAACAGCAGGACCTCAAATCTCAGAACATGAGATCGAAGCTGCTATCCTTGCATCTGATTCATTACCTCCTTAATAACCAAGCCAATGCTTTTGCGTCTCCGCTCTTGACAATCAAGAACAGCTCAACTAGCTCGGGCACTTCCGATGCAATGACATTTCTGCAAGCCGTCAAACCTCATCTCTGCCTGAGCCTTAGCCGGAATGGTTCAAGCTCGGTACCCAGAGTTTACGAGGTGTGCTGTGAGATTTTTTGGCTCATGCTGAAACACATGAGAGTGATGATGAAGGTCGGTGGGCTTCTTAGCACCATTCAACTACAATAAGCTAACTCGAAACAGAAAGAACTTGAGGTTTTCCTGAAGGAGATTTATTTGACCATTCTGGAAAAACGCAATTCGCCCGCTTTCCAAAAGCAATACTTCATGGAGGTTCTCGAGCGATTGGCCGGTGACCCACGCGCTCTGGTTGAGATTTACCTCAATTATGACTGCGACAGAACAGCATTAGAGAATATTTTCCAAAAGTATGTGCTCGCTGCTCCATTATCCAGTAGGATGAACACGTCTGACATGTGATTAAAACAGTATCATCGAGCAGCTGTCGCGTTATGCGAGCATTCCTGTTACAGTCACCCATGCTCAACAGCAGCAATATCAGGAACACCACGTCAAAGTCTCATCCGTGGGAAGTGACTGGCATCAACGTGGAAGCTTCCCCCCTTCGTTGACCACTGCCAATGTAGCCAACGTCCCACAACCAAGTCTACAAAATGTGCCACCCGAGTATACGCAGAAGAACCAGGCGGTCGTATGCTTGGTTGAAATTCTGCAGTCATTGGACAACTGGGCCTCACAACGTCTAGTCGACCAGTCCGCATCTATACCTCACTCGTCTTCTCAGAAATCGATCGATAATCCCAGAGATTCGATTGATATGAACACCGCATCGTTTCTCTCTTCCCCACGGATTGAGGGTATTGAGGGTATCACAACTCCGGTGGCGGAAGACGATCCAAGCCAAATTGAAAAGGTCAAACAAAGAAAGACCGCGTTCACCAACGCAGTTCAGCAGTTCAATTTCAAGGCCAAGCGCGGAATCAAACTTTTTATCCAGGAGGGTTTCGTGCGCTCCAGCTCACCCGAAGATATTGCTGCCTTCTTGTACCGGAATGACCGCTTGGACAAGGCCATGTTAGGAGAGTATCTCGGTGAAGGAGATGCGGAGAACATTGCTATCATGCATGCCTTTGTTGACCAGATGGACTTCTCCAAGCGACGATTTGTTGACGCTCTTCGTCAATTTCTGCAGAATTTCCGTCTACCGGGAGAGGCGCAAAAGATCGATCGCTTTATGCTGAAGTTTGCTGAGCGCTACGTAACTCAAAACCCTAATGCTTTTGCCAATGCGGATACTGCCTATGTTCTTGCCTACAGTGTCATTATGCTGAACACCGACCAGCACAGTGCAAAGATTAAGGGTCGCCGTATGAACAAGGAGGACTTCATCAAAAACAATCGGGGCATCAATGACAATCAGGATCTTCCTGACGAGTATCTATGCTCCATCTTTGACGAGATTGCACAAAACGAGATTGTACTGGATACTGAACGGGAACATGCCGCAAACCTTGGTATTCCTACTTCTGCGCCGGCCGGTCTGGCCACCAGAGCTGGACAGGTCTTTGCAACAGTTGGGAGGGATATCCAAGGTGAGAAGTATGCGCAGGCTTCCGAAGAGATGGCCAACAAGACCGAGCAGCTTTACCGCAGCTTGATCCGGGCGCAGCGCAAGACAGCGGTCAAGGAGGCACTTTCTCGCTTCATCCCGGCGACTTCAGTTCGCCATGTTGGCTCCATGTTCAATGTCACCTGGATGTCATTTCTGTCTGGCCTATCTGCCCCAATGCAAGATACACAGTACCTAGAACTGATCAGGCTTTGCATGGAGGGTATGAAGCTGGCCATCCGTATCAGCTGTGCTTTCGAATTGGAGACACCTCGGGTTGCGTTCGTGACAGCGCTTGCCAAGTTCACGAACCTGGGTAATGTCAGGGAAATGGTAGCGAAGAACGTTGAGGCACTCAAGGCACTGCTTGATGTTGCTTTGTCCGAGGGAAATCATCTCAAGGGTTCTTGGAGAGAAATCCTCACATGCGTCAGTCAGCTTGACCGACTCCAGCTCCTCACTGATGGGGTGGATGAAGGTTCTCTGCCAGATGTCTCTCGAGCTCGTATTGTGCCTCAACCGTCCTCTGATGGCTCCCGGAAGTCTATGCAGGCAGCAAGACGCCCTCGTCCTCGGTCAGTGAACGGACCTTCTGCCTTCCGCACCGAAGTTGCCATGGAAAGTCGCTCTGTCGAGATGATTAGGGGAGTTGATCGCATTTTCACTAATACTGCCAACCTTTCACATGAGGCCATCATCGACTTCATTCGGGCATTGAGTGAGGTCAGCTGGCAAGAGATTCAATCGTCTGGGCAGACCGACTCTCCCAGAACTTACAGTCTGCAAAAGCTGGTAGAGATCAGTTACTACAACATGACCCGAGTAAGGATCGAATGGTCCAAGATCTGGGAGGTCCTTGGACAACATTTCAACCAAGTAGGTTGCCATTCAAACACGACAGTGGTTTTCTTTGCTCTTGATTCGCTTCGCCAATTGTCAATGCGTTTTATGGAGATTGAGGAACTGCCGGGTTTCAAGTTCCAGAAAGACTTCCTGAAGCCGTTCGAACATGTCATGGCGAACAGCAGCGCTGTGACTGTTAAAGACATGATTCTCCGCTGCCTCATTCAGATGATCCAAGCACGTGGTGACAACATCCGCTCCGGTTGGAAGACGATGTTTGGTGTTTTCACAGTAGCTGCTCGGGAGCCCTACGAAGGCATTGTGAACATGGCTTTCGAGCATGTAACTCAAATTTACAACACTCGCTTCGGCGTCGTCATAACTCAGGGTGCTTTCCCTGACCTCGTTGTCTGTCTGACAGAGTTCTCCAAGAACTCTAGATTCCAGAAGAAGTCACTGCAAGCGATTGAAACCCTCAAGTCAACCGTTTCAAAGATGCTGAGAACGCCAGAATGCCCACTTTCTCATCGCGGAACTTCGTCGGAGGGCGCCCACGAGGACGCCACCAACCTGACGCAACAACTTACCCGCCAGTCGAAGGAAGAGCAGTTCTGGTACCCGATCTTGATTGCCTTCCAGGACGTCCTCATGACCGGTGATGACCTCGAAGTCCGCTCGCAGGCATTGACCTACCTCTTTGAGACTCTCATCCGGCACGGCGGCGAATTCCCGCAAGAGTTCTGGGATGTGCTTTGGCGACAACTTCTCTACCCGATCTTTGTAGTGCTGCAGTCTAAATCCGAGATGTCTAAAGTACCAAACCACGAGGAGCTGTCGGTGTGGCTATCGACAACAATGATCCAGGCTCTAAGGAACATGATCACGCTATTCACACACTACTTTGATGCGCTAGAATATATGCTCGATCGCATTCTTGAACTTCTGACGCTCTGCATCTGTCAAGAAAATGACACAATCGCCAGGATCGGCAGTAACTGCTTGCAGCAGTTGATACTGCAAAACGTCACGAAGTTCAAGCAGGAGCACTGGAACAAGGTAGTTGGTGCCTTTGTCGAGCTGTTCACAAAGACCACGGCCTACGACTTGTTTACCGCCGCGGCCTCCATCACTTCCAAGCCCTCCTCCACCCAAGCCAAACCCGCAAACGGTGAGACGCCGACCGGCGAAGACAGCGCAAACGAATCAGCCGAGACATCATCGGTCCAAGAGACCAGCAGTGTCGACCCGTCCAAGATCAACGGAGCACAGAACGTTGCTTCGGAGCACGAGGAGGGAGACATGCCCACGGCTTCCAACGCCGCACTGGAAGACTATCGGCCTCAAACAGAGGCGCAGCAACAACCCGCTGCGGTCACTGTTGCACGACGTCGGTTCTTCAATCGGATCATCACCAACTGCGTCCTGCAGCTGCTCATGATCGAGACAGTCCACGAGTTATTTTCCAATGACAAGGTCTACTCCCAGATCCCCAGTAACGAGCTCCTCCGGCTCATGGGCCTACTGAAGAAGAGCTACCAATTCGCCAAGAAGTTCAATGAGGACAAGGAATTGCGGATGCAGCTTTGGCGTCAGGGATTCATGAAGCAGCCTCCGAACTTGCTCAAGCAAGAAAGCGGTAGTGCCGCCACTTACGTTCACATTCTCTTCCGCATGTACCATGATGAGAGAGACGAGAGGAAGAGCAGCCGTGCGGAGACCGAAGCCGCTCTCATCCCGTAAGTTGCTCCTTTAAAAACCTTTTTTGCACAAAATCAACCGCGCAAGACTAATACTCAATCAAATTCAGACTATGCGCGGATATCATTCGCAGCTTCGTCCTTCTGGACGAAGATTCGCAGCATCGGAACGTCCTCGCCTGGCGCCCGGTCGTGGTGGATGTCATCGAGAGCTACACCAACTTCGCCTCGGAGGGGTTCAACAAACACATCGAGACCTTCTACCCCTTGGCCGTCGACCTGCTGGGCCGCGACATGAATCCGGAGGTCCGTCTCGCCGTGCAATCCCTCTTCCGCCGTGTCGGCGAGGTCAAGCTGGGTCTGCCACCTCGCCCGCAATCGCCGGCGGGTCATCGAAACTCCGTCACCAGCCAGTTGTCCCGCAAACATAGCAGCGGGCGCTGAGTTCTTGCCTGCAGTGCCAGGAGTTTCCCCTTTCGCCCACAACTGAACCATCCGTCTTGATACTGCTCTGCGTGTCTGTGCTATCTTTCTTCTCCCTTCTTCTCCTCTTTCTTCTTCCTCTTCTTCTTCTTCTCTTCTTGGATATCCTCGCCTTTCATGAATGGGAAGGCCTCGCTTTTGTTCTGGAAGGTTTGTCTGGTGTATTAGACTTTAAGTTCTCCATCATAGCCTTCGTCTTTGTTCTTTAAACCCCGGTCATCTCGCGCTCCTCGTTTCTCTCGAACTTTTGTTATCATTATCCTTCATATCTTGTGCAAGCGGGCTCTCTATATATGTATGTACAAAATACCATCTTTCATGGAAGCGTTGCAGGGGTTTATTCTCGGTCCTGTTGCCCGTCGCCCACTCTCGCTGCGAGACTGCTCTTTTCAGGCGTGGCTCTGAGTAGAGTAGAGGTCCTGAGTTAGGACAGGTATAGACCATAGTAAACCTAGTCCACTCACTTCAGCTTGATGAAAATCCTCGTGCGTTTGCCTCATGTCGCATAGTTCGCACAAAAGCCGGTTGACATCAGATGCTTCGAGTACTGCCTGTACTGTAGTACTCACCGAATCCCCATAGATTATGTATGTCCCCAGTACTCAATTCCCGGCCGCTTTCGCCCGAATCTCCTTCAAGGGGGGGATTTCCCCGGAGGCATAGAAGGCCAGAAGGCCCTCCATATCCCGCTCCTCCATCTCCACGAGGTCCTCCAAGCTCCACGACTCACAAACACCCGACATCCTGCCCATTATAGAATCCGTCAGCCCCAGCTCACAAGAACACCCCTTGCATCTTCACCTTGCTTGCACTTGAAAACAAACACAACCGGAAAGAGAAGGGGTCGGGGGGCCAAACATACCACTTCATCCGCTTCGGCCCCTCCTCGACGTTGGGCGCGGTCTCGCGCAACTTCCTCCGCAGCAGGCCGACGTTCTCGATGGCGGCGCCCATGTTGCCCGGCAGCGTGGCGGCGATCTTCTTGCGGACGATGCTGGCGAGCCGGGGGCCGTTGCCGTTGGTGCTGACCATGATCTGGAGGGGCCCGTCGCGGTGCATGCTCCCGAAGTAGAAGTCGCATTCGGGGGGTACGTCGGCGATGTTGGCGGGGATGCGCTTCTCCTTGCAGAGCTGCCAGACGCGCGTCGAGGCCGCGGGGTCGTCGATGGCGCACAGCACCATGTCGGCGGTGTTGAGGTCGTGGGGCTCGAAGGTCCGGTCGACGTGCGTCACTTGGCCCTGGGCCACCCGGTAGGCGACCTCCTCGTTCAGGCCGGCCGCGGGGCACACGACCGTCACTCGGGCGTCGGCGTTGAGGGCGTGGAGGATGCGACCGGCTGCGACCTTTTATTTTTGATGGATCGGGAAGAATGGTTAGTCTCTGTGTGACTGTGTCGAGGGGCAGGGGGGTTGTGTGTGTGTATGCTGGAATTAAGAGATGGAGTATATATATATTCGCATCGGCGATAAGAGAGAGGGATGGGGGGTAGCTTTACTAACCTCTCCCCCACCGACTACCAGGATATGTTTATTCTTTGCTTGCCAGGCAATGATTAGGGAGCCTCCTCCCTGGACCTCGGGAAACTTTTGCGACATTGCAATTCTTGTGAGTGAGAGACAGAATTGGATTGATGCTGGTGTTGGTTGGTTGGTGGTGGTGGTGGTTGTGTCATAGGCAAGTTTTCCTATCGGCCATCGCCTATCGATCGAGTATCATAGCCCGAGGAAGCATTCGGAACCAAAACATAATCCCGTGACCTTCCGCCTGCCGTTTTCTGCCCACTTCCCAAACTGCAAAAAAATACGAATTTTACCCACCGCGGCCTTTTTTTTTTCCCATTCTTTTCTCCCTCTTTTCTTTTCCTCTTCTCTTTCTTTCTTTCCTTCCCCTTCCCCTCCTCCCCTCCTCCCCTCAAATCCCCCTCCCCCAATCCCCCACTCCTTGCTTTCTGGGCCGGTAATCCTGAAATGATTCCACCGCCCACGTTGGCTATTCATTCCTATTATTACCGGTCCATGCCTTCTCAGTCTTAAGTCAAGTACCAAGATGCGGGGAGTACAAATCTTCTCGGGAACATCCCACCCTTCCCTGGCGGAGACCATCTGTGAGCGACTAGGCACCCAGCCGGCTCGAGCCAACCTCGGGAAATTCAGCAATGGCGAGACCAGAGTAGACATCGGCGTCTCCGTGCGGAACCAAGATGTCTACATCGTGCAGAGCGGCAGTGGAAAGATCAACGACAGTGTGATGGAGCTGTTGATTATGATCTCTGCCTGCAAGGGTGGTTCCGCCAAATCTATCACAGGTACGTTGGATTTTCCTCTCACCCTGCTTCACTCTCTCGGTGTGTACAATGGCTGACTTGTCTGTTTCATCCTGCAGCGGTCATGCCGTATGGTCCTGTTTAAGCTCATTCCTGCGCATCTGATACTGACTCAAACGAGGTACTTCCCGTACTCTCGCCAATCCAAGAAGAAGAGCCACCGTGGCGCCATCACTGCCCGCATGTTGGCCAACCTCCTCTCGGTTGCTGGAGTGGACCATGTGATCACCCTGGATCTACATGTGAGTCTTCAATGGCCGTTGGGGACCATCTACCATACCGCCTTCGACTGGAGTTCTTACCAAGGTGTGATGAATCTAGGCATCGCAAATGCAAGGTTTCTTCGGCAAGCCCGTGGACAACCTGTTCGCTGAACCCTTCATCGCTCGATGGATTCGCATGAACGTCCCTAGCTGGAGAGAAGCGGTGGTTGTGAGCAAGAATGCCGGTGGCACCAAGCGTGTCACCTCGCTTGCCGATACCCTGAAGCTCAACTTCGGTATCGTCACGACCGATAGACGGCGTCCCAAGGTCCCAATGTCGATGACGGACAGCACCGTCTTCTTTGACTCGATTGAGGAAGAGAGCACGACCTCGTCGAAAGATCAAGATCCTTTCGCTCTGCACATCCACAGCGCAGCTAGTGACAATGGTCAGGCTGAAGAGTCGCGTGAGGAGTCCAGCACCAACATGGAATCGCTCGTCGCGGCCAACCTGTTGCGCCCCGAGACCCCGACCGGCGCTCGCCGTCCGTCGGAGTTGGAAGCGGCACACGAGTACACCGATGTTCGTGTCCAGGACGTCATCACCGGCCGACTGGTTCAGGGTCACCTGGTGGATGATGACTATCCTTCTATCGGTCCCACTTCTGTACCTGCTTCGGGCGAAACAACCCCAGGTCAGAATGCGAGCGGCGAACCTTCGGAGGCGGTTCCCGAGTCGATGATCAACTCTCTCATCTCGACCACCCCTTCCCTTCCCGGCGACCACGCGCTAGGCGGCTCATTCGATGCTGCCGAGTCCTCCGACGAGGAGGGTAGCGTGGGGCGTCACGCTGAGCAAGAGAAGACCATCACTCTTGTCGGTGACGTGCGCAACCGGACCGTCTTCATCGTCGATGACATGATCGACAAGAGCGGATCCTGGGTCGCTGCTGCTGAGACAGTCGTGAAGAAGGGTGGTGCGAAGAAGGTCTACTGCATTGCAACTCACGGTCTCTTTGGGGATGAATCCCTGGAGCAGATGGAGGCATGCGAGGCCATCGACCACATTGTCGTTACAAACACATTCCCCATCGCTCCCCAAGTCGCGAAGAAGTCGAAGAAGTTGATTGTCATTGACATCTCAAGCCTCTTGGCAGAGAGCATTAGACGCCATCACTATGGCGAAAGGTTAGTTCCTATCATTCCACAGTCTCAATTTTAAAGTGTTTGCTAACGGCTGCCATAGCGTTTCGGCTTTGTTTCATCTAAATGATTAGACCTCCCGACTATTGAGTCCCATTCTCAATGGATCCTCTTCGAACGCAATCCTACTATTCCCTACACTCCCCTCCCTCCATGTTCCGAGCGTAAGCGAGCTGGTTTTGGGGCAAGATGATGACTAAAGACAGTGATGACGAGTGCCTTGATGATTTTTTCAGCGAATGGCTCTTTTTCTTTCTATCTTGCCGTGTTGATGCTTCTGCATGCACGCAAGTCCAATTTTGTGGTGATACACGGCAGGTTAATCTCTACTGTTATCAGCACCTAAGCACTGAATGATACCATTGACCATTTGCGCATCCCATATCCTGCTTGGGCGGAATCGCAGCTGCAGGGGGGTCGGTGACATGATCACTCCCACAAAGCACGGGAAGATGCGCCGTGAGTCCCCATTTTGCAGACAGATGCCTTGTTTCCCTGTCAATTCGGACCAAGTGTATGTTGCTTTCCCCATCGGTGCGTTTCATATCCACCATTTGTCTTTCGTAGGGCGGTTGGTATGTCGATCCATTCGATCACAACAACCTGTCAATCCAAAAACCAGCGATGCAGTCCACTCTGGGTACTGCAGGGGCGGCCTGTTGGAAAGGAGAGTAATTCTCCGGACCTGAGTTCACAGGATCGTTCTTAACGGAGCGTTGGGAGAGCAAATTACCGGCCCTGCGCGGTCTTCTATGACCTTCCGGGCCGTCTGGCTCGGTGGGAAGTAGTCGTACTGCGCTGGACCGGTCGAGGAGTGAAGGCACCACTTTCTTTGGGGGCATCTGCCCCCATGACTTTTTAGTCGGTGGAAATGGTGCAAGAGAACATCTCGGACACTATCTTCATGTCAGAGTAGCCTGTAAACAATCCCCAATTTAGCTGAATATCACCAATTTCCAACCCATCTTGTTCCCAGAGTGTCCTGTTCCTGCATTGTGTGGATGTTATCGTATGTCAGATTGAGCATTCGCGATCGATTGCAGACTAGACTTTGACCTCGAGCGACTACGAAGTAGGTTCAGAGACATCCGATTCTCCTTTGGCGCGCTCGGTGAGCGATGCAGTTTTCCTTTTTGCCAGGGATCAAGTCGAAATCTTCCGACCCGTGTTGCTATCCTGAGACGACTCGAAAAAGTCACGGCCGTGCAGGATTAGCGGCGTGCAGCTTGCCAGACGGCATGGAATGAATCAGCTTCCGACCGAGTTGACAATTGTTGCCAAAAGAGAGGATGGCGGTGTGTATGAGCCCGCGGGCTGATTGCAAGATTGGTCCGTTTGCTATGTGAAGCTGGACGGGGCCGAACAGAACGCAGCCCCTTTCATTTCTCCTGAATCAACCTTTTTCATATGCACGTTACTAGTTGACCAAGCGAAATGCATGTTCGAATCGGATGGTGAATAACGGATCCGGGGCAGAATTGCTTTCCGCCTTAGAAACGAGTCTCTAGTCTACGCGTAGATGTGAGATTGCGACTGATCCGGAGAAGGATGGAGGGGTGTGATAATAAAGTCTGGCCAAGCCCTAACATGCATCACAATGACCATGGCAAGAGAATGCCCTTGTTCTAGGCCCGGTCGAGCGGCACGTCCGACAGCTCGTTTATGGAGCGCCACTTGCCAGATTGCACCTTCGGCATACGGTAAGCTGAACAAATGGGTGAGAAGTGAAGCGTGTGGGGATAGTAAAGCGATTGGGGGCGGTTTCTCAGAACAAAAAGACGTATCGAGCAGACAAAAGTACCTTGCGTCACCGAAAAACAGGGAAGACGCCCTATCCCAGGACTATGAGAGGCGGAGCCAATTAGAAACCAGACTAGCAAGGCCCGAAGCACGACGGCGCAGATTTTATGTCCGGAACATTCCCGGTAGATCAGGGAAGCATGCGGCTAGCATGACCAGTGGTGATTTGTGGTTCCTGAAATCAAGGAATCGGCCTCGGATGCTTGCTTGCAAGCGGTTTACGTACCTCGTCCAAAGTCGTTGAGCATATGGAATCTCGACTTGAGAAGGATGCTATAGGTATTGTCTCAACAATTCCTAGGGTATTGAAGGCAATCTGACAAGGTGCAACCCTGAAGCGTCTCATTGATCATCTCATTTGGTGGATGCCTAGTCCAGCCACAAATGGCCTTCAAGAGCGGCTGAAGTACGGAGTACCGGCAGTGTTGCTTCTTGTATCCCCGCCATGCTGACAGGAATCGACCCGCCTGTCAAGCGATATCCACCGCACTTGACCCAAGCGCTGGGTCGGGTTCAGCCTCTCGTGTTCTCATCCTAGACCTGAGAAGTCGAGAACTAAGGGAACGCTCGGAGCACTAGAAGCCCCGCGTGTCGGGTCCCGGACTGCAGGTGCAGTTCGTTCTAAGATTATCCCAAATGATGACACATTGACATCAGTAAGAGGAATGGCATCTCGGCTCGAGGCTAGAGGGGATGTTTGATGGTCGCTTTGCTACTTCCGATATTGTGGTCGAAACAGCCAACTTTGTCGTTGGAGCTCATTTACGGGAAAATCGACATAATCAAACGAGCGGTAGGTGAGCGGCTTACACCTCGCATGACTACAGCCACTCATAGTGTTGAAAACCCACGAAAGACGACAATTTGGTGAGCAAGCGAACCAATCAAAAGTAAGTACTGGCCATCAGGTCGTTCACTCTTCCAGACACGGAGCAATCTCAACTTAGAACTGTGTGAGCTAGGCACTGTTGACTTTGGATCATATTACGAAGTACGGACGACTTTTGTTCTCCAGGGCCCCCAAAACTTACCGGTAAGCCACTTGGGGATAATCCTGGTTCGCGGGTGCGGGTCGCCTGCAGACGCACGGCGCAATCGGCTTGATCGGCAAAAATAGACAGGAACAAGCATGATTGAATCGAGGTGTGACGCTCACAGGGGTCGTGCCTGCTTGCTCAAGCGTCAGCGACGCCCCCAACGTTGCCTCTGCAAAGGCGGGCTGGGAACAGCTGCAGGGATGGACCCGAAACCATGGATGTATGAACGTTGATCCCAGTGCTTTACTTGGCCCATCAAGTGGAGAGAGGCAGCGCTGACAGCTTAGAGTGGGGAGATCTTAGAGTGCAAAATTGTACTGTTTGTTGCGCTGCGATTGTTTGTCCTAGCTTTTCGGGAAGCCCCTGCCTGCTCTGCGAAGTGCATCGGTAGCACCGGCAGACCGACATCCTCTTCCTGTGGTGAACCGTATGGCCGAAGTTTAACAGCGATTGCAGTTGGAAATGAGTTCAAACTCAAAGCAAATAGCTCTGAGCGATTGCCAGTTTTAGAATGATGGATAGATCCAGAGCAAACAATTGGAGTGAGCGGCACGGCAGTCGTTGAGATGGGTCTGGATCGGAATGATGCGCAAGTAACTACCGATGGAGGTTCTAGAAAAATTGGGTTCGATGCATGACGTTCGGTCGAGGTCAAGGAAGGCCTTGTGGGGTATGGAGGGTGCATATACAGAAGTAGCAGCAACGATCGATGGGGGAAACAAGAACGAGCGATGGGGTGGAAGGATTGGCCAGGAAGGCTGGATCTGAACGATCGAGATTCCAGGAACCAGGATGTGAAGAGGGCGGAAGGATCAATTCGTGATGGATTATGATGCATAGATAGGTAGATGAATGGATGGATGGATGGATAGATAGAGAGAAGGAAGTGGAGATGGAGAAGGGGGGGGGGGGAGAGGGGGAAGTGGAGAAGAGGTAAGTTAGAGAGAGAGAGAGAGAGAGAAGAAGAAGGAATGAAAGGAAGGCGGCCGGGGCTAGACAAGGAAGCAGCAGCAGCAGATCGGATCGGATCTACACTCCATTTCCTGTCTTCAACGCTTCCTTCCAGCCCCTTTGGGTGCATTTTATTTGACTGGTCCTGGTAATGATGGAATTATTATTAAGGGGAAGGTTGTCATGACCGAAACTCAAAGCTTAAAATGAGGAACCAAGAAAGAAAAGAAAGAAAGATTCTGTCAGTATGTAGGAGACAGACTAGGAGTAGTAGTCGGAGTGGGTTGGATCCACCTTGAAAAATGATCTGTAGAAGCACCACCACGACTCAAGCACCCAGTCGGATCTATTCATTGATTCATTGACGGGGACTAAAGGTAATTAGACCGGTTAGACAGTTTACCAGTAGACAGATATCACTGACCTGGCCCTGGATCCCAGTAACTGTAACTCAATCTGGGTTTTTAATTGAATTTATTTCGATTTACGGATATCCAGATAATAAGATGGCATTTTCTTTTTCTCTTTTTCTCTTTTTCTTTTCTTTTTCGTATCTTAATTTTTGGAAATCTTTCTGCAAGAACAATCCTACCCCCCATATGGTACCTCCACATCTTTCCTTCTTTCCTTCTTCTCGATCTCGAGATCTCACATACATCTCGCACTCGTCTTGTCCACACCCGATTCCTTCTATTTCGATCGCATCCTTCCTCCGTCCTCGTCTCCCCTTACTATTTGTCGGATTGTCTTCATCAGGCTGTGGTAGCTGTAGACGACTCCACTCCCAATTAATGATCCGTCGAGAGCAGGCCGGGTACGTGCATCGTGCTTGCTTCCCTGCCGACGGCGAGCGCGGATTCCATGCAGCTGGTAGGCTTCTCGCCTGATTGAGTGCTGCTTCTGGACCTCTGTCCACCATACAGTGACTGTAGCTGGGATTTCTCTTTGAGACACCGTCATTCCAAAGCAATGCAACCAGCCCGTCGTTGAGAGAGAGCGCACGCGAGAGAGAGAGAGAGAGAACCTCCGAATCCTATATATACTATGGCTTCGCTGCCCTTCCGTTCTTCAATTCTGCAGAACCACAATCAACACTTACTTCTTCTCTCATCCTCCTCTTGGGATCATCGCATCACTCCGTCACTGCTCCCTCTTATTCAGAACGAATCACCCATTCCTTCTCTTCACTCTCCATTCCCAACTCAATTCAATCGTCTTCGAGGAACTCAGGCCTTGCGGAAGAGCCAGCTACCATATAATCCAGGCCTACGGCACTAAGAAATATCAATTGCGACTACACGCAAGATCCGGCTTCGAAAGTCACCGTTAACTCATACTCCAAGCCTCTTATTCGGTTGATCCAAACTTTGGTAAGGCCATGAGATCTCCTGATCCGCATCTTGTGTCTCGTGCATGAGGGAGCGGCAGCCGAACTGAAGAACTGACGGACTTTGACCAGAGAGAGACCCAAAGCACAATGGCCAACCAATGCTCCGGTCATCGTTTCGCCATTGTACAGGCAACGAACGGCAACATCCTTACCTGGCGATGTTCCGACTGCAACTCCGGCCCCTATGTTGCCATCTGGCAATGCAAGATCTGTCTCCATTTTCGCTGCAACGCATGCCACACCGCCAAAGCATAGTTCTTCCCTTGCTTTGGGGATCGGTAAGTGCCACTGGCCGGATACAACACCCATCCGTTCACAGTAACATACTGTGCGCCTGTTGTGGAACAAAAAGGACTAACGTTGGGACTCCTCAGTGCTCGCCCTGGAAGGGTTCTCGAAATCTGACGACACCGCCGCAGCTTGGTTCCAATGCATGGCTTGCATTGGGATCGGCAGAGCACCCCATGCAAATCTGTCCTCTGACGGATAATCTGACCCAAATCCCTTGTCTTTCTTTTTCTTAATAGGTCCGCTTTATCCTCTTTTGTTCTCTTCGCCTACCTGTCACCTGTACGACCCAGATGCAGGTGGCATTCTTTACTTCCAGACGTCGCTTCTGGACGAACGACCTCGTCCGGATATCTTATCCATCTGCCCACCCATGGCAATCCGAAGCTCGATGCATTTTTCTCTTTTCAATCCAGCTCAAGAGAGAACGGAGAGATTTGACGTTCTTCTGACCTACTACAAGCGGAAGAAACAGCACATTCCAGCTTACCTGCGGCGGCATTGCAACTGACTTGCTGTCTTGATGGCTGGATACAACAGATCCAGTCTCATGCAGCTCGTGACCCTTGATTGATCTGCTTCGCGTTCAGTTCTTCGCTGACTTTTGTCTCGCTCTTGCAAAACGCTCATCTGCTGCCGATTTTTTGATCTGTTCTTGTCAAGCCTACGCGTGTTTTGTCCACAGTGCTGTTCTTTTTAGAATTGCATCGCTCCGGCGTTCAGGTTCAAGAAACCAGGGTATGGGGGGTCATTGCTTGATGACATTTTCGTCTGGCAGTTTTCTCTCTTATTCATTTCTTTTCAATTTGGGTGTATCCTTAGGGATGTCTCGTTTGTCCCTCCGGAGTCCTGGCGATCGACCCTCTGCTCTACCCTTAGATAGAAAATAACTCATAGACTCGTTTTCCTCGGGGAAATACAATACAACCTGCGGCGACGCAAACCACCTCCCCTGTCTTCCTTCTGGGTACTGATATCGAACCGGGCATAGTACAGCCACCAACTCCTTTAGTTGTTCTAAAGAAAGGTATAGACAAGACAAACCAACAGAGCGACAAACGGATTCCCCCCCGCCTTCAACGCCGAATTTCCCTCCCCCGCACCGCCAACCATCATCCAAATCCGCTCTCCGACATCTCTGACACCATGCATGTCCCCTACCCTCATACATATGGATACCCCCAACGGAAAAAAATCAAAGCAAGCTAGACCAGTGACATAACAATGCCAGGGCGTCAGCGGCTTGCTTGCCAACGCCAACAGCCCCGGGATGCTGTGCTGTAAGGTTGGCTAAACGAGCAACGAGCCGTCCCTTGCATTACCTGACATCCTGCCTCTTGAACTGTACAGTAAAGGCGCTGCCAGGATAGATGGATATGTAGGTCTTCACATGAGAGAGGATTTTTTGGTATCGGATAGAGAGGGACTCTGGAGGTTCAGAGGGGGGGGGGGGGGTTATTTTGTAGCACTGAAGAAGAAGTGGGCGAGGAAGTAGAAGAGAACCAAAACAGTGAGGATGGAATGCGCGCTCATTGTGACCCCGTATTCCGCCGTGATACACATCTTTACTGGCTTGATGAACGTGTAGATGGGGAGGGACATGGCCTCTGTAGCAGTCATTGCCTGGCATGAGCTAATAATCTTTTTATGCTTAAGGTGATGGAGTGAGGCATTGTGTTCGGTCCACAGTTTGGAGGCTCTTGTCTTGCGGAGAGAGCGAATGGGAAAGTGCAGATCCAGTAAGGGTAAGGAACCTTGTAGGCCCTACTGTACTGTACAGTCCAGCCTATGTATGCAGACGTTTTGGGGGAACGCCGGGAATCTTCTGGTAATTCTACCGATTGGACCACGGGCTCGTCTTTTATTCTACTGGTTCCCGGGGTATACGAGACGGAGCTGCTCGGTTAGATGTAGACTGTAGATAATACACAATCATATTACAGTCTCCGGGTCATCCTAGACTACAAAAGACCACTAGGGGATATGCATTTCAGATGTGAAGCAGATGATTAAGAGATTAGAGGCATGCCGGAGGCCCATAGATTTCACGAAAAGCACCGTCAATCAGGTGTAGATACTCTGTTCGCCTATCATCAGTATACCATTCATATTGTGACCCAAGGGAACAAGCTTACCTCGGTGATTTGGTTCACCTGCAAACCAGGTTCGGCCATATTCGCATCCTTCAAAAAGTCCAACGGCATCCAAACCAGATGTCCCTTGATCTTGTCGAGCTTCTCGCGAGTGTCCTGGATGGGTTGGTAGGGGTCAAACAAATGGCCCTGCTTGATGCCTTTAGGAACGAAGTGATCGTAATCCTCGAATGTGAGGATCTTGTCATCGGGATCCGCGCGGAAGAGCATCCGGTATATGTCGGTGTTGACGGTGGCTTGGTTGGTCCACATCTCCCACAGTGCGTCATTCATGGGATCCGTGACAAAGTCATTCTCAGGCCCCTCGAGAATCTGATTCATGCACGCGTACGGGGGCTGGGCGTTGGGATGCTGCGAGGCATCGTATTCCTGGCAGGGAAGCAGGCCGAGGTGTTCGCGCCACAGCTGGCGACGCAGGGTTGCTGCAAGGCGGGCGGCCTTGTATGGCTGACCGTCCATGGTACTATCGATGAAGTCCTGGTCTTCAACAACGATGGCTAACTCGCTGTCGTGGTAGCCGCATTGAGACTGTGCGAGATGGATTAATTGGCCTGCTCGCAGGGGCTAATGTAGGTAGCTGCAAGGGGAAAATGAAAAAGACTTACCCGATCGTTGATATTGGCGCTTCCACAAATGGCAATTCTGTCATCGACAATGCACACCTTGCCGTGCACATAAAGTTCCTCTTGAACAATGTTGTCTATCTCAGCGTCGGGCTCGCCATCCCAAGGCTCGTCAGACATTCTACCGCCGTTGAGCATCGTTGTGTGCGCCACGGTGTCACAGCCTTTCAAGCCCTCTTTCTCCCTATGACGTTCGACCTGCTCTTCGTATTTGCGCAACTGCTCAATCCGCGCCTCCTTCTCCTGTTGCGCGTTATCATATCCAACTTCATGCCTGTCTCCTTCGTTGTCAATGGCAGGGTGAACACTATCACTCATGATAGACTCAGCAATTCCACGTTGAATGTCATTGTACGTGACGCCGGCCTCCTTTTCCAAACTTTCGAGAGCGGGAGTCTTGTTAATACGGTCATAGGCCCGTAGGTTAAACAAGAAGACGTGTTCTGCTCATGTTAGACATGATTTCCCGCATTAGGTGTGGTTCGACTTACGTCTCGGGT